TGCTATTAAGCTAGAGTGTAGGATCATTATGCGATTTTTTCTTAGTTGGCAGAAGTGCATGTTTATTTTTGGAGAACTTAAATCTGTTTTGTGTCGTCCATTTATTTATTTATTTTATTCAAGCATGGTTGTCGGTGGCGTTCTATTGTGTTCCTATCTTTGGATCTGTAATAGTCGTCCACATGTTCATATTCATGTAATATATCACAAAGTCGTCCACATTTCGGGTGATGTTGGTGATGTTGTTTATTTCTATATTAAAGTGGGTAACGGACAGTATGTTCCTTTGTGCTTCCCCCATTACTGGATCTTTTACAACTGACAGGGTATCATTAATCTTAAACAGTGGCGTAGCTAGAGTAAACGTCATCCGGGACGGTCAGCTCAAATGTCACCCCAATGACCCCGATTCACCCTATGCTGAATGGTTAGCTGTAGCTAAATTTTCATACATGCTCTACCTCTACTTTACTCTACTGACCGGTACGTTACTGTTTACATGTATAATCCAAGACAAAATCCAATACCACAAAATAATCAGTTCAAATCAAAAAAATTTTAAAATGCAACTATTCACTTTCAGAACAACTAAATACAAAACACGGCAATACACAAAAGAATGACATTCGATACTATGGTCTTAGAATGAATGTTTTCTTGTTTTCATTGTGGCAAACTGGTCAATGACATCGTCAAAATCTGTTTTTCTTGTAAGCTCGTTTTCAATGGACAGCACAACCAGATCCGACAGTCTCGGCTGGCTCATGGACACCGGAAAATTACCAACAGAAAATTAAGTCAACCAATTTTCCGTTGCATCATTTTCTGGGTACCATTTAATTATCAATGATGTTTGAAAGTATTTTTCTTGACAAAAATGTTCTAATTTTTAAGCATTTTTCGGAACATTGTAAATCAACTGCATTCTTTTAAAGGTTACCTAGAGAATTCATGCAAAGTTTATTTTTTTTTTTGTTTTTCTTTAGACAAGTAAAATAAATTTACATCGTATTTTGATGTTATTATGATTTTAGTTTTAGTGATAATTTAAAAACAATAAATATTTATCATTAGTACCAATAATGGAAAATTAAGTTAAAAATTTAAAAGAATCGTTTTTGGAATCGGAAAATAGGCACAAATTTTTCCGAATCCGATACCGTTTCTGATACCCCAAAAAGTTCCGATTTTTTCCGATTAATCGTCCCAACACTAGTAGATATATTCAAAAGTATATCGCTCACTCAATGGAAAATTGTATCACAGCGAATTGATACAGAGGCAAGACTGAAATTGTTGCACTTCTGGCTTCGTATTTCGCTTTGTTGTTATTAATGATGCAGAGTTTAAACACCATATCATCCGATAAAAAAATGTTACAATGTCTCTTGTTAGTAACTAAGATTGTAGCAACTGAAACTCATGAAATCTGAAAACATTGCTATTTTTCTTACTCACAAATTTCCTGACAATTTATTAGAAAATTTCTGACGGGGGGGGGGCAAAACTGGGGGGAGTTCATATGCCCGCCTGCGAAACCCTGTGTCTCCACTACTGTTTTCAGACGATTTTTGGCACCATAACCTGGTTGAAAAATTTTGTTGGGGGGTGACATTGTGTCACCCCCCCCCCCCTGTGCTGGCACCCGGGGCGGTCTGCCCCCCTTTAGCTACGCCACTGGGGGGTCATATGCCCGCCGGCGAAACCCTGTGTCTCCATCACTGTTTTCAGACTATTTTTGGCACCTTAGCCTGGTTGAAAAATTTTGTTGGGGGTGACATTGTGTCACCCCTCCTGTGCTGGCACACGAGTCCCTTTTAATGCAGTGTATTTAATGTCGTTACTTGAAGTTACAGGGGTTGTTGCATTTCCTGGCAACGCTGCCGAACTGGAATTGATACTGAAGTTTTAAGGAATAATGAGGAGGAAACACAAGTTTTATATTTAATGAAACAAGAGAAGGAATATATTTAAAAATTTACACATTTGAAGTTGTCAGTAGCTTGTTTCAGGAAAAAAGGAATCAAATATTTAAAGTTCGTAGTTTCGATGAATTGTCACGAAAAGAAAATGTTCATATTAAATCATCGGACACAAAGTAATACTACAAAATGTTTAAAACAAGAGAGTTCGTTTTTCACATAAAAGTTATACGGTTGTATTCAACATAAATGAAAAGATATATTTTAAGGTTTAGAGTTGAATAGAGTTCTTTTTGAAATTGTTCTGCTCTCAATAGAAGCTGATAATATATCATCAACGTGTAATTTGAAACCAGCGTTATTCAGACGTCTGGAACTTCTTTTCTCTTTCTTTCTCTCTTTCTTTGATTTCTCTGCCTATTTATATCAAAAAACAATTTCACATCAGCACGTTACTTTTTTTCTCAGTTTGTAAGCCGCTCCCTTTTTCATTGGCCAAAATAAATTTTCACATAGGCCCGCGAATTTGAAAACTGTAGAGAAAAAAAGAGTTATTTTTATTTCGTATTCACCACAATACCAGCAGAAACCACCTTGGGGTTATCTATGTGGTTGTCTCTCTCTGCTCCTGCTTTTATGATACCTGCCTCGGGAATGTGAATGGCTTCTCAGCTCTCTGCTTTCAGTTTGGAGAGCTTTCAGCATGGATTTCAGTTCGCTCAATACTTATATCAAAAAGCGATTTAACATCGACTTGTTACTTTTTTCAGTATGTAAGCCGCTCCCTTTTTCATTGGGCAAAATAAATTTGAAAACTGTGGAAAAAAAAAAAAAAGAGTTATTTTTCTTTCATATTCACCACAATACCAGCAGAAACCACTTTGGGGTTATCTATGTGGTTGCCTCTCTCTGCTCCTGCTTTTATCATACCTGTCTCGGGAATGTGAATGGCTTCTCGGCTCTCTGCTTTGAGTTTGGAGAGCTTTCAGCATGGATTTCAGTTCGTTCATTTCATCCATTAATTCCTGCAGCTCATTGCGCTGACTGGGGCAAAGAGTACGCTGATACTCCGTGAGCTACTGCTAGACTCGTATATCCTATCGGCAGAGGATGCCAGTTTGTCCATATGACTGGTGTCAACCATCGGTTCTAGTATTTGTGCTGTGATGTGAAGGAGTTTTTCTAGCCACAACCGCCGTAGCACTTTCTCTGTGTGGGATTTTTAGGTGTGTTCGAAAATGTAGGATATTCTTTCGTCGACTCTCTGGTTGCTTTGCCTGGTCGTCTTTGATTTTATCAATTTTTGGAGACAAAGGAATTCATTTCAGTTTTGATTGGTTAAAAGGACTTTGTAAAATCGTAACTCTACACTTTTGGGCAAAGATCATCTAAAAGTGGATCAGTAGGCGATACTGTTAAAATCTGTGCAAAAGCCATCTAAAAGTGGATCACAGTGACATTCTTGTATAAAACCAGTTCCACAATATTTTCCAAGAATTTGTTTGCTGATTGTTCATAAACAATCAAATGGGCGTCGCTATCCACCCACGCACATCTGTTTTTCATCTCGTGATCGAGTTAAATATTTTGGCGCCAATTTCCTGGGGCTTATCACGTGTCCAAAGTAAATAAATTCACACGCAAACTCATGTCACTAGGGAGAATCGTGAGCTCAAGCCAGTTGCAACCACCTGAAGAAGGCCGGAGCGTACAACGGCCGAAACGTTGTAATAAATATGGCCACAAAGATGAGGACAATAGTCCGAACGTTGTATTGTCTTATGCTATATAAATGCAAATTTGTTTGTTGTCATATAATATCGTTTTATGTTATTTCTCATTTTGTTCATTGCTCTGTAATTTGTTGAAGAAGTAATTAAATTTGTTGAGGATTTACGTTACTTTGAACATGCAACCGATTTTACTCTACAGATGGAAACCTCAATGTTGCATTGAATAACGCTCCTTTACACAACTTATTTGACCACCCCTTTTTCTTCACCTATATTTTTAGGAATGATGACCTTTTGCAATCCAAAGCTTAGAACCCAGTCTATCCTGCTATTTACGCATAGCTGGGGAGGGGGGAGAAGAAAATGTATGAATCCTCTTCTCCCCCCACCCCCAGCAAATGGGTAAATAGCAGGACAGACCGGGTTCTATAGCCTTGGATAGCAACTGGTCTACCGCTGAAAGAAATGGCAACCTAACGCGGGAAAAAATCTGCCTCGTCAGTCATGTATCGAAAGATACATGATCGCCTAAGCAGGTACTACATATAGCACATAACTGACTGACCTTTTGGCCTCTTTTATTTATTTTTTTTTACTTTTTCTTATCTTTTTTTAAATTTCTTTATGGCAAAATGAAATGGTTTTCCAACTTTTAGGTTTCTATTTTTTTTTGTCGGTGGTGGGGGGAATAGTGAACTTTATTTGTCTATCAAGGTCAGGAGAAGACCTCCCACGGATGAACAGAAGTGACATAAATTTTAAGAATTTTAAGGCAAATTTACTTGAACTCCCCCCACCCCGAGTCGGGTTGTGATACAAGGTCGGTTTTTAACGCGGGGACCCGAGTGTTTCCACTCGGGCCGCTGGGCTATACTGGTCTTACCTAGTCATAATTGGTTCAAGCTGGTCAGAGTTCATCTAAGCTAGTAATAGCCGTGATACCACCTGTGCTAGGTAAGTATCATTTTACGAATTTTAAGTGAACTTATTTTAAGTGAACTTATTTTTAACTACCCAGTAATTTTTACAAATTAACATTTTTTTTTTAAATTAAGGAATCTATTTTTATTGATTTTTAGGTACTTTAATTTGAATAAAGTGTGTATTTCATGTTTCACTTGTCTTTATTTCTTCCTTTCTCACATTTCTCAGTACGGGGCCCTATAAATCAAGGAGTTATCGACCAACGAAACTGACGAGAAAAGATATCTAATTATTATTGCTGAAGTACCTGTAAATTAATCGAAAATTTGGGATGAGTTACGTCCCTTAGCATTTATTAAAATGAAACTTGCGGTGTCAATAGTGAGTAGCGATTTAGTAATCACTCGCACATGAACGAAATATGTAGTAAGTACAACTACAATCAGTTATAACTAATGGCTTAAATATCTTTAAAAAAATTTGTTTAAAAAAAACTTACAGTATCTGGTTTATCTTGATATTTATTTTAAAATTCGGGAAACAAGCTTTTTAAAGTATACAAACGAAATATCAAGTTTAAGTTTCTCTTTACCCCGTCACCGAAAAAGCAAGTAAAAATAAAATGCATAAAAACGAAAAAATAAATGTAAACTTAATCAAATTAAATCTTGATAGAAGTTAAAAATTTAAGCGATTTTCTTTAATTTTGGAATTCATCGCTTCTGATTTTACAAGCTGAAAAAATGATTTGTGAAGTTAGTTTTGTGAAATCAACGACTTTTTTTAAAAAAAACTAAAAATTATAAAAAAAACTTTTGTGGGTTTTTCCAATTTTTATTTTGAAATTTTGCTCGTGAACTTTATACTTTTTAATGCATCCATCGAAAAGTCTTATGGATTTTCTATCGATATATTGAATTACTTAAAAAAAATTTCGGTACTTCCATAAAGTTGCGAAATACTAAATAGCTACCATTCTCAGAAAAAGAATAGAATTTTTTTTTTTTTACCAAAATCGAAGGTCATTTTTTAGAATATTGGGAGTAAAACTATAAACTAAATTTTATTTTCAACTATAAATTTTACAATAGTCCAATCAAACTTTATGAAGAATTGTAGAACTATATTTTAATTTTAATGTTATTTTTTTTTTTTTTTTTTAATGACGGAGATAAGATTTCGTTTTAAAGCATAACAACACACAGTTACAACGACAACATTTTAAAGCATAACAACACACAGTTACAACGACAACATTTGTCATCACATCACCTGTTCACAGCTCAAAATTTAGATAGACCTATAGAAATATGTAGGTCAGGTCATATGTGATAAATTCGTTGATAGAAAAAAAAATAACCCTGTTTTACAAAAATTAATCTTTTCTTCTTCCAGTAACATGTTTCAGTGCAGATATTCCTGTCAGCGGGCTGGCAGACTATTCCAGATTGTAAAAGCATCCTACAGCTCATTAATAAAGGACAAAGCTTATATTAATGGAAAATGGGTTAGTGCCACAGACGGAAAGACTTTTAATGGTAAGTTCCTTCAAATTTAAATTGCTAATTACACCCCATGGCTGTTCGAATTTCTTACATTTTAATCTAAAAAATTTTCACAAAATGATTGATCACAATACAGCTTTTGCTGCATGAACATTACCTATCTCTGCTCAGAGTTTTGTAGATCTTGAAATCCACTCATCAGGAGATGAAAGTATTTTTGATTTTACAGTTATACTTATGTTTTCTTAGCATCTTCAAAGTGATGATCGTAAGAACACAAAATGTCTTGCTGTTAGCAAAAAGAAGAGTCAAACATGCAAATCACAACCCTACACACAAGACGTTAGGGGCCAGCTGGTGGTCTGCCAATGGTCCACTGGTGGCAGACATCGGTGGACAACAAATGGTAACATTCCCAAGATACACACGCCAGCAGTCTGACAGTGGGCCACCAAGTGGCAGATTGGTGGCTTGCATGTAGGGAAATCAAAGATAGCAAAATCAAACTAGTACAACAATTTAAATATCTGGATAATTGATAACACAAAGTACAACAATTTAAATATCTGGATAATTGATAACACAAAGTACAATTTAAATATTGGATAATAAATAATTTAAAAGATAATTGATAACAAAGTACAACAATTTAAATATCTGGATAATTGATAACACAAAGTACAACAATTTAAATATCTGGATAATTGATAACAAAGTACAACAATTTAAATATCTGGATAATTGATAACACAAAGTACAACAATTTAAATATCTGGATAATTGATAACACAAAGTACAACAATTTAAATATCTGGATAATTGATAACACAAAAGTACAACAATTTAAATATCTGGATAATTGATAACACAAAGTACAACAATTTAAATATCTGGATAATTGATAACACAAAAGTACAACAATTTAAATATCTGGATAATTTGAAAACAACAATTTAAATAAATTGATACAACAATTTAAATATCTGGATAATTGATAACACAAAGTACAACAATTTAAATATCTGGATAATTGATAACACAAAGTACAACAATTTAAATATCTGGATAATTGATAACACAAAGTACAACAATTTAAATATTAAATGATAACAAAGTACAACAATTTAAATATTGATTAACACAAAGTACAACAATTTAAATATCTGATAATTGATAACACAAAGTACAACAATTTAAATATCTGGATAATTGATAACACAAAGTACAACAATTTAAATATCTGGATAATTGATTTACAACAATTTAAATATCTGGATAATTGATAACACAAAAAGTACAACAATTTAAATATCTGGAAATTGATAACACAAAGTACAAACAATTTAAATATCTGGATAATTGATAACACAAAAACATCTGGATAATTGATAACACAACAATTTAAATATCTGGATTTAATTGGATAATTGATAACACAAAAGTACAACAATTTAAATATCTGGATAATTGATAACAAAAGTACAACAATTTAAATTACAAAACAATTTAAATATCTGGATAATTGATAACACAAAGTACAATTTAAATATCTGGATAACAATTTAAATATCTGGATAATTGATAACACAAAGTACAACAATTTAAATATCTGGATAATTGATAACACAAAGTACAACAATTTAAATATCTGGATAATTGATAACACAAAGTACAACAATTTAAATATCTGGATAATTGATAACACAAAGTACAACAATTTAAATATCTGGATAAATTACAACAATTTAAATATCTGGATAATTGATAACACAAAGTACAACAATTTAAATATCTGGATAATTGATAACACAAAGTACAAAAATTTAAATTTAAATATCAAAGTACAACAATTTAAATAATTGATAAAATCTGGATAATTGATAACACAAAGTACAACAATTTAAATATCTGGATAATTGATAACAATTTAAATATCAAAGTACAACAATTTAAATATCTGGATAATTGATAACAACAATTTAAATACTGAAAGTACAACAATTTAAATATCTGGATAATTGATAACACAAAGTACAACAATTTAAATATCTGGATAATTGATAACACAAAGTACAACAATTTAAAATTTAAATAACACAAATCAACAATTTAAATATCTGGATAATTGATAATTGTACAACAATTAAATATCTGATAATTGATAAACAAAAGTTTAAACAATTTAAATATCTGGATAATTGATAACACAAAGTACAACAATTTAAATATCTGGATAATTGATAACATAAAGTACAACAATTTAAATATCTGATAATTGATAACACAAAGTACAACAATTTAAATATCTGGATAATTGATTTAAAATTGATAATTAACACAAAGTACAACAATTTAAATATCTGGATAATTGATAACACAAAAGTACAACAATTTAAATATTGGATAAATAACACAAAGTACAACAATTTCTGGATAATTGATAACACAAAGTACAACAATTTAAATATCTGGATAATTGATAACACAAAGTACAACAATTTAAATATCTGGATAATTGATAACAAATACAACATCTGGATAAAGTACAACAATTTAAATATCTGGATAATTAACAACAATTTAAATATCTGGATAACCGATAAACAAACAACAATTTAAATATCTGGATAATTGATAACACAAATACAAATTTAAATATCTGATAATTGATAACAAAAAGTACAACAATTTAAATATCTGGATAATTGATAACACAAAAGATTTAAATATTGATAATTAACAACAATTTAAATAGATAACAACAATTTAATTTAAATATCTGGATAATTGATAACACAAAGTACAACAATTTTAAATATTGGATAATTGATAACACAAAGTACAACAATTTAAATATCTGGATAATTGATAACACAAAGTACAACAATTTAAATATCTGGATAATTGATAACACAAAAGTACAACAATTTAAATATCTGGATAATTGATAACAACAAAGTACAACAATTTAAATATCTGGATAATTGATAACACAAAGTACAACAATTTAAAATTTAAATATCTGGATAATTGATAACACAAAGTACAACAATTTAAATATCTGGATAATTGATAACAAAAAGTACAACAATTTAAATATCTGGATAATTGATAACACAAAAAGTACAACAATTTAAATTTGGATAATTGATAACAAAAGTACAACAATTTAAATATCTGGATAATTGATAACACAAAGTACAACAATTTAAATATGGATAATTGGTTTAAATATCTGATAAATAACAAAAGTACAACAATTTAAATATCTGGATAATTGATAACACAAAGTACAACAATTTAAATATCTGGATAACAAAGGAATGAAAGTGTAACACTGAAATCCAAATGTTTGGTTTGGTTCGTTTTACAGCATATCAACCATAATGGGTTATTTGATGCCAACAGAATTTTTAATGTTGATATGATATTTTTTTTTTTTTTTTACAAAAAATCTATTTCTGGTAATATTTTTCCTACAAAAAACCTATTTCTAGCAATATTTTTTTCTTCAAATATGTATTGCTGGTAATATTTTTTTTAAAGTATTTGTTTTTTCCAAAAATGTATTACTGGTAATTTTTTTTTACAAAGTATTTCTGATATTAAAACCTATTTTTACACTTTCATAGTATTTTTACCCCAGTTTTGGGGTTAACTATTTTCCCATAGCTGGGACCCTAACAGGTGCTACCACCATGGGTCAGGGTGAACCTGGGAACACCAGCAATTTAGAGATAGTTCCATGCTCCTCAAAACCTCCTGATCAGAGGCCTTGCTATTGGACATAGTTTATTTATCCAGGACGTGGATGTAGTTTATCGTCATATTCAGGATGAACCTACCTATCAAGCTTGAGTAAATGGATGTTGGAACAAGGTTTAAGAGAGATAAGAAAAAGACATAATTTATTAAGAGCTAAAAAGGAGAGGAAATTGTGGAGAGCCGTGATTCTCAACATCCTGAAGGGACATGGCACATAGAAGTTATGATCTAGTTTTACAACTTAACACTTTCTAGGATATTTTTTTGTTTTTAGATTGTAGGAATTCTTTTTGATGGTTTGGTTTGGTTCATTTTGTTTTATGGAATATCATCCTCAATGGGTTATTTAATGCCGACAAGATTTTTATTGCTGGTAATAATTTTTCCAAAAAATGTATTGCTGCCAATATTTTTTTTTTTTCAAAAACATATCACTGGTAATAATTTTTCTTCAAAAATTTATTGCTAGCAATAATTTTTTACAAAAATATGTTGCTAATATTAAAACCTATTTTTACACTTTCATAGTACCCTGACCCCAGCCTGGGGGATAACCATTTGCCCATAGATGGGACCAATTTTTTTTTTTTTAGATAATGATTTAGTGATGCAAGTTTTACTAATTAACCCACTGCTGGGGAGAAGAAGTGGATTCATACCTTTCCCCAAGAGTATTTGTAAATGAATTATCCATTACACCATTCACACATCCAAGCTTAAAGCACCTAGTATTACTAAGCAGTCATCCATTTAGATCCTGATCAACGTTGCTTAACTTATGGACACATCACATGGAAACAATGGTTCCTGTATGATCACCAATGTTAGTAATTACAAAGAGTGATTACCTAAAAAAATATCTTCCAGAAATATCCTGGTCAGCCGTTTTTTAGCCCAACATTCTTTGTTTATGTATACATGTGATATAGAGAGGACATAGGACTCAACACTGCATGGTGACTCTCAGTTTCACACTTCAATGCAATCTTCAGACAAAGGGTGCCACTAGTCTTTAGTATATATATATATATATATATATATATATATATATATATATATATATATATATATATATATATATATATAACAGGTTTCATATGTAGGTCATGAGAGGATTAAAGAAAATAAATTGGCCTGAAGCATGGAACTGACAGTCACCAGTCAGTGTTGATCCCTGTGTCCACATTGTCTATAATGCTCTATCACCAATCACTGTTACCCTATAAATATTTTTGTTCATTTATCTAGTAGTGACAATTTAAACATACCATTTGTTAGAAGAGGTTATACATTAATTGTCTAATAATTATTTTTAGCATCTTTCATGTGACAAGTTTACATATGGTTATACTCTGCTTCAAATTATATCTTTGATCCATATGTCAGCCAGATGTGAACATTAAGAAAGTAAAACCAAAAATGAAAAGTCTTCCTCTGTGCAGAAGCCCTGAGCATCACATCCACCATACTTTACAAATCCCCTCAAAAAATATATAAAAGAAGCCAATCACAAATGTTGCTGCAAAACAAAAAAAAGATGAAAAAAAAAAGATAAGTTTATGAGCCATCACATTTGCTTTTAAGAATGCTACAACTGAGAGAATTGTGAGGAACAGGCAAACTTCAACTAATTTGCCACCAGTAAGCTCTCATGTCACCACCATTGACCTTGGTCAACTGACCCAACACACACATCAACTCCAGGCCCTAATAATTTTACCCTTCCTCCAAGTCACTTCCCTTGGCCACAAAGAGACATTCCACTCACATTCTCAGTATTGGCAATACAAAGAATTTTATATTAATAACTTGTTTTCTTTTCACCTCACCAGCAGTACTTGTTTCATTTGTTCTCTTGTCCTACAATATGCATATTTGGAACTAACATAAACTTGACCGTTTTTCATTTTGTTATAATCAGGAATGAGTGTTAAATCCCTCCCCAAATTTAGATACATGCTGAGATTTCTTCCTAGCCAATAAAAAATGGACAATTCTCAGTCTTATCCACACATTTCTTTCTTAGAAGGCTATAACCACTTGTGTATGAGCACTCATCTTGGCCAGTGCTATTCCTATATCAGATTGTAATAGTACATTTTTTTCCTATGTTTTTATGTATTGTAAGTTTCATTCATGGAAGAGCTCCTTTGTATATTTGTTCAATCTTTATATATTTTTCTTGATCTATGAGGAGTTGCAGCCAAAGCTCACTGGAATGACTACTTCAAAATCTATTGTAAGGAGCAGTGTAGTCTGGCCCTTACTTCTTTCAGAACTGCCTGCAATCACTGTAAGAAAGTCCTGGAAAATGCAAAATGTGTCTATGTGCAATCTGTCCAGGCCAAGGTTGAAAATAAACAAATTGAATCTCGCAAATTCTTGAAGATCACCAACCAAATAATGAACAAAGGCAAAGCAGCTGTGCCCACTATTATAAATGACTCTGAGGTCATAATATCATCAACAGACAAGGCAAAGCTCTTCGCCTTTGTCATCTAATGTTAAGTTTGAAGCAAAGACCAAGGCCATCCCATCCACAACATCCCTTGTTTCACTGAGCACAATCTCAGTAATATATTCATTTCAACAAGAGAAGACTTGACTTATACAGAGCCTCAACCCAAAAAGGCCACTGGGCCAGACAAAATTTGAATGGTCATCCTTAAGAATATCAACCCAGAATTATTCTAGCTAAGTTATTTAACTGCTTCTTGGAGGAGAAATCTTTCCCAAGCATGTGGAAGGTGGAAAGCTTATGCCTGGTCTTCAAGAATGTGGGAAACTGATTATTCTACTCCCAGTATAGACCAATTAGTCTCCTCAGTAAGCTTTTTGAGGCTTTAATCAACAAGAAGATCATCAAGCACCTAGATAAGAACAACCTCTTCTGTGATGAGCAGTATGAGTTTCAATTAGCCCAATCCACTGCTGATGTCCTAACTACCATTTCACACAGAATTAGTGTAGCCCTTGACGACGCACATACCACAAGGTCAATTGCATTAGATATCTCAAAGGCTTTCAACAAGGTGTGGCAAAAAAGTTTGCTACACATGTTCACCATCTATAGAATCACTGGAAGGGTTTTCTCTATTATAAATTCCTTCCTAACAAGTAGATCACTGAAGGTAGTTATTAATGAACAGTCCTCTGAGGCCCTGGTGGTCAACACAGGCATCCCCAAGGGCTCACTTCTCAGGCCAACCCTCTTTGTGATATACATAAATGATCTTCCTTAGAACATATTCCAATCATTTGTAAATGTCTATACTGATGATAAGATGATATACAGGTGCACCTCCAAAAGTCTTGATGATCAGAGATTGGCAGCTGACCTCTCTTCCAATCTAACAATGGCTTAAAAACTAGCTGGCTACATTCAATGACTCTAAAACCAAACTAGTTACATTCTATCACCACCTATCAGTCCTTGAACTACCTCCAGTCACGATGAACATATGTCCCCCTCAAGGAGATGCCATGCCTTGAGAGGATATCAGGCTTCAAGCTCCAGTAAGGACCTGACTCCTCATACTATCCTCTACCATGATAAGAACCAGGTCAGGTTGAAAATGCAGTACTGTTGCCATATTTGGGAAGGAGGTACCCAGACCTCACTTTCCAGTCTTGATAGAGTTCAAGAGCATCTCTGGGTACCTGTGGGAGATGAATTATTTTCCACACTCCAACCTCTCTCTCTCACAAGCGAGATGTGGCGAACTTCACTGTTCTTTCACCACTACCATGCAAAGTTTTTTGGACGATGGGTTGGTTTGTTTCATTTGGTTTATTTTGTTTTATGGCATATCAACCTCAATGGGTTATTTAATGCCAACAAAATTTTTTTATTGCTGATAATATTTTGTTTTGTCAAAAATCTGTTTCTGGTAATATTTTTCCTTCAAAATTGTATTGCTGGTAATAATTTTTTTCAAAAAAGTATTGCTGACAATAGTTAACTATTTGCCCATAGGTGGGATCCCAACAGGTGCTACCACCCCAGGTCAGGGTGGACCTGGGAATGCCAGCAATTAAGAGATGGTTCCACGCTCCTCAAAACCTCCTGATCAGAGGCCTTGCTGCTGGATGTAGTTTATCGTCTTACCAAGGACGCAGATATAATTTAACATTTTACCCAGGACGGGGTTTGGTTTGTTTTACAGTATATGAACACTTCAATGATTTATTTAATGCCAACAAAATTTTTATTGCTGGCAAAATGTTTTTCTTCAAAAATCTATTTCTGGGAATATTTTTCCTTTAAGAAATCTATAGCTGGTCATATTTTTTTCAAAGAATGAATAGCTGGTTGTATTGCTGGTACTTTTTTTTAAAGTTTTGCTGATAATAATTTTTCCTTCAAAAATTATTACTGGTATTAATTTTTTTTTTTTTATTACAAAGTATTTTTGGTATTAAAACCTATGTTTACACAAGTTTGGGTGTTAACTATTTGCCCATAGCTGGGACCCCAACAGGTGCTACCACCCCAGCTCAGGGTAGACCTGGGAACCCCAGCAATTAAGAGGTGGTTCCACACTCCTCAAAACCTCTTGATCAAAGGCCTTGCTGCTGGACATAGTTTATTGTCATACCCAGGACAGGTATTTGTAAAGGAAAGCAGTATGAATGATTTTAGTCATCATTTCCTTCTACTTAATTGGTCTTTCTCTGAAATGCTAAGTAGTTTATATCTTCCATATATTCATCTATTTAAAGTCAACATTTATGCAGTAAAAACTTTCCCTATTTTTCTCAGTGATTAATCCAGCCAATGGAGAATTTATCAGGGATGTTCCAGACATGTCAACTGCAGAAACACAATTAGCCATTGATGCTGCATACTCTGCTTTTGAAAGCTGGAAGGATACGACTGCTAAGGTGAGGAAATCCAGTCTTTAAAATTATGAAAATAACTGTTAAAAGTCAATACTATTTACTTAATGTCATTTGTATCTAAATTTTATTTGAGAAAAGTCATTGCTCAATAAAATTGTTAGATTAAGAGATACACAGACATATTAGACACTCCCATTTTAACAGGGTTTGGTTTGTTTTATGACATATCAATCCATTAAGTTATTTAATGTAAAAATTTAATGTTTTTTCCAAATAAAACCTTGTATTTAACCTTTTTAACAACCTGCATTATTCACTACGTTCCTTTCCACTGCATTGTTTTTAAGGCTCCTCTAGTGGTCTACTTAATTTTAATTATGGTCATTTTCTGTTGCCATAGCAGGATATGACAACACAACTACAAAATTCAAATGTGCTATCATTCATTCATCCGAGTCACTTGCAGTGGCAGAATAAATTTTTTGCTTTGCAAACAATATCACCTGCAGAATGTTAATGGTTAAACAGTTAAATTTCCTTTTTTGAATACTAAGACAGCTGTTTGTTACAGTTTTATTTTTTTTTTAATTATATTTTTGAGATCAATTTAATTTCTCTTAGAAACTGGAATATGTAAAATGAATTGGTATTTTGAAAAAGTTCTTTTAAGCTTCTTGTTTGATCATATTTTAAGCGACTGAATTAAAATTGTTGCAGTTTATCAGTATGTGTGTTATGGTGAATGGCTCTTGGCATGGCACATATATCGGAAGATCTTCCTTTATTAGAATAATTTCAACATGGAATATTCAGGAAAACAGGTTTTGTTTTCATACTTTAAGCATGTAATATCAAAAAAAAAAAAAGTATCAGTACATGACAAAACATATGCTCTTTGGTTTGGTTTATTTTGTTTTACAGCATATCAACATCAAAAGGTTATTTAATGCCGACAAGATTTTTATTGCTGGTAATATTTTATTCAAAAATATATTGCTGGATTTAAAACCTATTTTTACACTTTCATAGTGTTTTGACCCCCATCTTGGGGGCCAAATATCTGCCCATAGTTGGGACGGGTGCTACCACCCCGGGTCAGGGTGGACCTGGGAACACCAGCAATTAGAAGGTCGTTCCATGCTCCTCAAAACCGCCTGATCAGAGGCCTTGCTGCTGGATGTAGTTTATCGTCTTACCCAGGATGAAGATGTAGTTTATCATCATACCCAGGATGGCATATGCTCTTTAGCTATAGGAGAAAACATTTTATATGCCATGTCCTTTAAGGACATGTGCAATCATGACTGCCCACAAAGAGCCCTTATTAAATTTTTTGTAAATAAATGTTGTCTTTTTGCTATCTGTCCTAATCCTTATTCTGCCAACTATTTACATGAACTCATTAGGTAGGGATTATGCACTGCTTTCTTCTGTCCATCTTGCCTTCAATATGTCCTGTTAGTCTCAAATTTTCCAAGCCCTCTTTCCTCCTCATGTGCCCTAGAAATCTCAGCTATCTCTTTCTGATGCCACATATAAGTGTCCTTTTTGTCTCCATTTTCTCTAAAATTGTCATTGCTCACATGTTCAATTCATGATATTCTCAGCATCCTTCTGTAGGACACCATTTCTGTTGCTCCAAGTCTCCTTTTCATTTTTGAGAGATGGTCTAACATTCACTGCCATATAGGTGGACCGATATTATAAAACAGCTCAATAATCTTCTGTTTGCAATGAAATTTTCCTTTTTCTTAATACTTTGCTTAACTTTTGGAAGACACTTTCTTTATCCCAATATACCTTTAGTTTTCAGTGTCTTTTTCCATCCTCTGTTAAGACATTTCCTCGATATTTAAATTTTTGCACTTGTTTAATCTTAGCATGCCCAATTTGTATTTGTAATTTGCATGTTGAACTTTTTCTTTTGCAGATGACCATACATTCTCTCTTCTTACAGTTGATCTTTAGTCCTTTCTTCTTGCTTTCCTTTTCTACCTTCTCTAGGAGTTCCTGTTGTTTACTTTCTATGTCTGCTATCAATACTGTGTTATCTGCAAATCTAATGTTACGGTTGTGGTTACCAATAATGAATCCTGGTAGGACTAATTCTCTCAGAATTGCTTCATTGTAAAGGTTGAATAAGTCTTATGTCCCTTCCTATTTTTGGTTTTGTCTTACAGCTTATCAACCACAATGGGTTATTTAATGCTGACAATTTTTTTTTTCTGAAATATTTTCTTTTTCAAATATTTATTGCTGATACTAATTTTTTTAAAAGTATTTCTGGTATTAAAATCTATTTTTACACTTTCATAGTGTTTTGACTCAGGTTGTGGAGTTAACTATTTGCCCATAGCTGGGATCATAACAGGTGCTACCACCCCGTGTCAGGGTGGACCTGGGAACATCAACAATTAATAGGTTAATACTCAACAAAACCTCCTGATCAGAGGCCTTGCTGCTGGACGTAGTTTATCATCTTACCCAGGACGCAGGTGTAGTTTATTGTTATACCCAGGATGGCCTTTCCATTTTTTTGTATTTACTAAATTCATTTTCTATTTGTATGCAGATAATTTGCTTCCAGTATAAGTTCTAGATTGTTCTAATATTCTTCCTAAATAAAGCTTATCTAACAGTTCTTTCTTTGGTTTGTTTTACAGTATGTCAACCTCAATGGGTTATTTAATGCCAACAAGATTTTTATTGCTAGTAATATTTTTTTTTTCAAAAATATATTGTTGGTAATATTTTTTTTTTTTTTACCAAAAATGTATTGCTGATAAAAAATTTTTCAAAATAGTATTGCTGGTATTAAAACCTATTTTTACACTTTCATAGCTGGGACCCTGACAGGTGCTATCCCCAGGATAGGGTGGATCTGGGAACACCAGCAATTAAGAGGTTGTTCTACACTCCTCAAAACCTCCTGATCAGAGGCCTTGCTGCTGGGCATAGTTTATTGTCTTACCCAGGACAGTTCTTTGTGATGTTCTTTCTCAAACACTTTTGGCATAATCTATAAAAAAACACAGAATATTCAAAAGACCAATACAAGTGCGAAAGAATGTATACCTGAGAATATCATATTCCTTGTTCCAATATGGTTAATGAAGCTGCACTGTTAACCTATTTCTTGTCTAATTCTACTGCATGCAGAAAGCATTAAAGTATATAAAAAGCAAGCTGATAGTACATCTGAATATGAAGCCATATTAAAAGATCTGTATGAACTGGGCTTAAGAGACAGACTGACACAATTCATAGGGAATTTCTTAATAAAAAAAATAAAAAAAAAAAAAAATAAAAAAAACCAGAACAGAAATTTCAAGGCCAAGTAGGAAGTAATCGGAAGTACAAGAACAAGAGGAAGGAGTTCCACAAGGAAGTATTCTATCAATGACACTTTTTTTACATTAAAAATTTAAATCCTTCTATGTTAACATTTTCTTAATCATGTACAAATCTCAACATATGAACCCAATAGAAAGATAAGTCCAGCAATGCTTAAATAAAATACAGAAATGGGCCACAGAAAATGGCCGCTTCCTATGAAAGACATACTTCTTTACATCTTTAATCTTATGTTTCTCAAGATAGCATTTTACCCTTACTCCCTTTTAATTACATCCCCTATGGTCTCCAGCTAATTGAATATAGCCATATTTAAGTATGACAGATCAGTTGCTACTCATTCATGATAATTCCTTTTACTGGTTTGGTTTACAGCATATCAACTCATTGGGCGGGCACCCCGAGGCGGTGTAATGGTTAGCAAAGCTTGTCTCGCTAGAACAATTACGTGTAAGTAGTGAGTTCAATCCTCACTGGGTGCTCCCATACTTTCGGCCTTGTACCACATCTAAGCTACGCTTGGAAAATCACTATCAACTCATTGGTTCATTTAATACTGAAGTTTAATATATTTTAAATTAAGTTTTTTGACTCTTAAATAGAAGACTTTATTTTAAATAGACTACTTTTTACTATGGTTATTTTTGTTTTTTTTTTCATTATATTTTTTAAATCTGTTTAATTTCTATTCAAAACTGGAATATGTCAAATCAATTAGTATTTTGAAAAAGTTTTAAGTTTCTTGTTTGGTTGTATTTTAAGTCGATTGAATTAAAATTGCTGCAGTTTATCAGTACATGTTTTATGATGAATGGCTCTTGGCATACCACACATACCAAAGGATCTTCCTTTTTTTAACATATAAAACTAGGTCATAGAAGTATGTCCAATATACAATACTGGTAATAATAATAATATTTGAGTATATATGATTATGGAGTCTTGCTTGGTGGAAGTTACCATTCAATTCATTGGTGTTTTATGGCTTATCAACCTTTTGCAGGTTATTTAAAGCTAGAAAATATTTTTAGATTGTAAACATGTTTGAGATAATGATTTATTGATGTCCTACTAATTAACCCATAGCCGGAGGAGGTGGATCACATCTTTTCCAAAGGTATTTACACGTAAATGAAACCACCTGCGATTGGAACTTGGCTCACTGATCTCCAGTTCAAAGCCATTATCCATTACATCACCAGCACATCCAAGCTTGCAGCACCTGTTATTCCCAAGTGGTCACCTGTAACGAGCATGCGCGGAAATGTCCTCGAACTGCGTGTGTGTGTTGTCGCCGGGCACACCTTGGAGTACCATAATGGACTCGACCGAGGACTATAAGAAGAAAATGCACGAGTCGTTTGGCATCTTTTCTTGGGCGACAAAAGCTGTTGCAGTTGATTGTTCGTCGGTAGCAGTCTTGGGTGCCGTTTTGCTCATTGGTTGCCGTAAAAAGTGTTGTGTCGCAAGTAGGCGTTCGTTTTGGTGTCACATTCGTTTCTGGTTCGCAAGAAGGCGTTCGTTGTTGTGTAGCATTCGTTTGTGTGTCACAAGAAGGCGTTTGTTTTTTGTGTCGCAAGAAGTTTTCTTTTTCTTTTTTTCTCACACATCACCCATCCAGGTACCGATCAGGCTCAATGGTGAATGTATGAAAATCAGTATTTCAATATGATATGGCTGTAAGCCAAGGTAAAATTAATTCATGTTGTACTACCAAATAAGATTCTTATCAGAATTTGGAAGCATTGAATTCTTAAACTTTGTTATAACTATCAGGTCATCTTTGGCAGGAAGACATTTCAGTATACAGTTGTCTTTTTTTCAGGAGAGAAGTTCCATTTTGAAGAAATGGTATGCATTGATTGAAGCAAACAAAACATCACTTGCAGAATTGCTGACTAGAGAACAGGTACAAAATTATGCTTACAAATGATTGATTGATTTTGTTTAGCAGCATATCCACCTCTATGTGTTTAATGCTGAAGTTTAAATATTCTGAACACCATTTTATAGCTTCAACTAGATATATTTTTTGCATAATTTTATACTTTTTAGGCTAACCACATATTTTATAGATATATTTCATTCAAAATTCAGGTAGACAGTGACCGAGCACAACTGTTAGTTTCATGTACTTTCATGCAATCATCAGGCAGCAGTTGGTAGGTGTAGTTCATAAAATAAAAAATGAGTATTCAATGCCATAATAAATGGTAGAGCTTTAATACATTTGTTTTTTTTGCCATTCCTTTTGAATATACGTGTTAATGACCTCCTTAAAGTCAGTGTATCCAATTTTGGTCGTTGAATCTACATCCATATCTAAAGCTGATTTGACTCCCAATTTGGCTGCTCAATCTGCTTTATTGTTACCTTCCACTCTGATGTGGCTAGGAATACAATCTTACATTTGGTAAACAAAGTAACTAGTAAAAATACAATTTGTATGATTTTAAAATCCCCTCCACCATTATAGTTGCACTGTTAAAGATTAATTTGATTTGTTTATCAGGGAAAAAGCATGGCCGATTCAGTGGCTGAAGTTACTTATGGTGCAAGTTTTTTTGAATGGTTTGCTGAAGAAGCCAGACGAGTCTATGGAGATGTCATTCCACCTGCAGTTCCTGGACGACGCATTTTGGTAATCAAACAACCAATAGGGGTTGCTGGAATCATTACACCTGTAAGTATACAAAAACTCAATGTTTGCATGATCAAATTAATGTATATAAGTAGGTATGAAGACAAGCTAGTATTGGTTCAGTTACAACGATAGCAGCAAGCCTGGATCCATTGATTATTACATCTGTCGTGAGTCTAGGCCCTGATACATATGATTAGCTGTAGAGAAAATATGTAGTATCAGCAGCAGTTGAATGGAACATTAAAAAAATATGCTTAAAAAAAAAAAAAAAAAAAAAAACACACACACACATCTGATCAGCAAACCTTAAAAAAAGAATGGGGGGAGGTTTTTTTTTTAGAAATGTAGACACTCAGACTATGCTGTTAAAGAAAAGCATACATTTCCATAGACAGCCATTTATTTTTTTTATTCTTATTTCATGGAATAAATATTTCAGAAAATTTCAACCTGTCATACTTTTTATATTCTGTATAGTTTTGTTAAAAACAGGGTGGTACAGATGCCTCCCTGGTAGTTACAGAAACTACTTCACATCCTTTGATGTAACTGGTATAGCAGAAAACTATTTTCATTATTTCAAATCAAACTGTATTCTTTCTATATGAGGGAGAGAGAGAGAAAGAGAGATGATTTTGGCCTCTATGAATATTAACCTAAAGCTTTTTTTCTTTTTTTTTTTTTTAAACTAGTATGTGTTCATTGCTATTGAATTTAAAGATTGATTCATACAAGAAGATGGACATAAATCACTTCCAGTTGAGACTATAACTGAAGATAAAAAGCAGTTTAATATGATGACTAAAATGGTACCAATTTCAAGAGAGTCATTTAAATTTTAAGTAGCAAAGATTTTTGTACAATACGCTTGTTAGCCACCATTCTGGCTGTCATTGTGGAAGAAATGTTTAGAACATCAAGGATGGGAATTAACATTTTTGTACCAAGATATCTATTTTGGATTTGATTTGGTTTTGAAACTATAAAAGTAAAGAAATTATACAAAGTATAAAATCAGATGCTTTTGTTACTTAATTTATGGTGCATCTACAATTGTTTATTTACATGACTTTAGGCAATAGGAAAATAACCAAGAACTACAAGAAGTTACATTAAATTTATATTTAAAAAAAAAAAGAGGAAAATGTTGTTTATGGTGGAGGTTCTTTCTTCAAGAATTTTGAGTAGAAAATTTTTACATAGGACTTCAAAAGAGGAGTTTCAACTGCAAAATGATCTTTATCTAGTTTCAGCCATTTTGGCTATCATTTTTGTCAATTGCTTAAGTTGCAACCTTATTTCCTGGAGGAAACAGAATGCTGATGGAGCGGAAAGCCACAGCAGGTGACTTGAATTGTCTGCTACAATTTCAATTTGATTGACTTTTGTTTTAAATTGTAGTTGATGTTCATCACTGAAGTGATGACGTCATTTAAGAAGCTGAAAGACTGATTAACACTTTACATTTCATTGTATTTTTAGATATAATCATTTATTTATCGAGTCAGAATTTTCATTTCAATTTAAATGTATCTCAACTTATCTTTTGAGCATGGGAAAGCACTTGGTACAAAGATATGACCAAACTTTTCAATTTTTTATTAAATTTTTCATGATTTTCATTTGCTAACATAAGTGAGTAGCTGATCTAAAAATTGTTGGGTTATCTGCACACCCCTCTCTACCATCTCCATTTTTTTTTTATATAAAATGTTTTTATGTCAAAGTCTTGTAAGATAAAAATCATAAACAGTTTCAATGTTAGCTTTCGTACATTAATAACTATCAAGATTTCCAAAATTGTTTTTAATATTAATATAAGCATACAGACACAGAAATAGGAATAATTCTCAAACAGATCCTCTTGGAATAGAGACCCACTTTTTTTTTTCAAAGGATATTAGGTCATTTTGATTTTTTTTTTAATAAAAAAGTAAAAATAAAAATAAAAAAAAAATTAAAAAAAAGTTCTTTACACTGCTCACTTCCTGGGAAAACACAATCTTATTTGCTGTCTAGTGAGACCACCAAACAATCCAGAAGCATTTCACCATTGTATATATATATATATATATGGACTCTCCCATCATTTTCAACATATGAGGGTCAAGCAGCTCAATTCTTAGAACTGACAGCCAAACTACCCACAAAGATCATTTGATTATAGTGGTGAAGACTGGGGCAGAACCAACCGCACTTTTTGGAAGATGGTTTGATTTGTATCATATCAACCTCAATGGGTTATTTAATGCCAACAAGATTTTTACAATAGATTCATATAAATAGAATCTATATTCTTTATAAGGAAACAATTTGTAGATCCGGTCTCATTAATATACTTTTTTAAAGAGGGCTGTTGTCGAGAATCTGTTTTCATTGATTTATCTTCTCAGATACACAATTTGTAAAGAAATTGATTGACATTTTCATTTGGTTTACAATTTTTGGTAGAGGCCTACTGTTTTGAGAAATCATTATATCATCCACTTTAACTTTCTCAAACAGTTCATACATATTGTTTACATTATAGTATTCTCTTGTGAGAGCAAAGATCTGAGCACTCAGTTATTATATGTTTAATAGTAAATGCCTTTTTACATGATTAGCATGCTGGTTGATCTTTGTTTAGTAAGTACGAGTGGGTTATTCTCATATAGCCAATGCGTAAACAGGCCAGTAATACTTTTTCCTTATGAAATTTTCTAGGAACCGACTTCCATTCTCCTAGTTTGTGCAGAATTGAGAAGAGTTTGTGTCAGTTATTGTCCTAGTACCATTCCTTTTCAATGTATTTATTAATAACTTTAACTCAGGAGGCACAGTGGAGTAATGGATAGCGGCTCAGATTGAGGAATCAGAGAGCCAAGTTTGAATTCCAGTCAAATCCATGCTAATACCCTTGGGAAAGGTATGAATCCTCTTCTCCCTCCAGCTATGGGTAAATAGCAGGACAGACCGGATTCTACTGCAGAAAAAAATGGCAACCTACTGTGGGGACAAAAAATCTGCCTTGTCAGTCATATATCAAAAGATACATGATTGCCTAAGCATGTATCACACATGGCACATAACTGACTAAATAACCTTAAAATCTGGGTATGGGATTTTGTTCACTGTATACACATTCACATCTAAAGCCGACTTGACTGATAGATATGCTTCATTATTACATTTAACTCAGATATGGCTAGGAATCCAGCATAGTTTGGTGTCTTTATGCTTATTAATAGTGCTCATTTTGCATAATATTTTCATAAGTGGAGTGTTGGATTTTTTTTTTCTTCAAAGCCAATAAAACATATAGTGAGTTAAAAAAAATTTTTTTTTGTTTGTTCTCTGAGATAATGTTGAGAGCAAGCTTGATTGAAAATAAAGCTTTCCCTTGGGAGGCTCATTTTTTGGCAATATTTTGGTTCACTGCTGCACATCCTATCTTGTCCTCACATTTTGACCCATCTGTATAGATGGGTGTATGATTAGGGAAGTTTGCCAATATGTCCTGAAATTTATCCTGGAATATGAGTGTATGCATTTTTTGTTTGGGAAGATATGTAATTCTAGCAGAACTTGGGGTTCCTTGATAGTCCATGATGGGATAATGGCTGCAGTCACTTCTTGTATATTTCAGACTGTGGTGCCAAACTCTTCAGCAATGGATTTCATCCCGAGTCCATAGGGTTGTATAGCATTATCTTTTTGTTGGAATAGATTGCAGTAATTTTGTTCAAAGTTACAGCTGGAAGCTGGGTTAGTTGGGCAGGATTTTATATTTACATAGTACTGTTTACCAGTTTAGTGCACCGTTAAATGTAGAGGTGTTTCGGTTTGGTTTATTTTGTTTTACGGCATACCAACACCTCAATGGGTTATTTAATGCTGACAATTTTTATTGCTGGTAATTCATTTTTTTCAAAAATGTATTTCTGAAAATGTTTTTTTCTTCAAATAATCTATTTCTGGTAATATTTTTCTTCAAGAATGTATTGATGATAATTTTTTTTTTTTTTAAATGTATTGCTGGTTATAATTTTTTTTTTTTTTTTTTTTTTTTTTTTACAAATTATTTCTGGTATTAAAACCTATTTTTTCACTTTCATAATGTTTTGACCCAAGTTTGGGGGTTAATTATTTGCCCATAGCTGGGACCCTAACAGGTGCTACCACCCTAGGTCAGGGTGGACTTGTGAACACCAGCAATTAAGAGGTGGTTTCATGCTTCTCAAAACCTCCTGTTCAGAGGCCTTGCTGTTGGATGTAGTTTATCGTCTTACCCAGGACAGCCACTCATCAGGAAACTACTCAACAGAATCAATAGCTTAAATACAGATATTGTCTTCTGCCATATTGGTTTGGTTATTGTTTTCCTACATACCAACACCTCAATGGGCTATTTAATGCTGACAAGATTTACCTTACCCAGGACATGGATGTAGTTTATCCTCATACCCAGGACAGGGAGGTGTTTCATTAGCTTCTGTATATAAGGTCTCTCCACTAGGGGTGTTCTTAAAGCCCAGAGTAGTAATTGTTTTCAAATATTTTAGATGGAGAATTAACGTTATTTTTTTTTTTTTTTTTTTTTTTAAATCAAAGATAATAATACCTAGAAGTTTTAGTTGTTCCACAACTGGGATTTCTGCTCCATCTAATTTTAAACATGGGAAATTGTGCAATTTTCTTAATTTACAGAAATGTAGGCATTTGGTTTTAGTTTTGGAAAACAAACTCATTTTCAGTGACCCATTCATGTATTCTATTGAGACATTGTGGAACCCTTTCTTCTTGATCTTCAGTTCCGATAACGTACTTCCTTCTATAGTCCAAGTAAGGACCAAAGTGGTTTGTTGGGAATCAGAAGTAACTAACCCCGACTACTCAACCACCAGACGTTAGGAATTGCCAGCCATGCTAAATAGGTAGCCTCATTGGCATGAGGTTAACCTTCTGCAGAGGTGCAGTCAGCATATTCTGAAGTCCCAGCCAACAGGGTGGACATTTTGGAAGAGCTGAATACACAGTATGCCACAATGTTTCCAAATGGCCTTCTGCTGTTTTTGAATACAGACTTGTCCTTCTCCTAGACCGGTTGCCACCCAAGGCTATAGGACTCAGTCTGTCCCGCTATTTACTCATAGCTGAGGCATGGGGAAAGAGATTCATACCTTTCTTAAGAGTATTAGCTCATAAGTAAATGTAATGAACTTGACTGGAATTCGAACTGTTTGCCAATTCCTCAATCAAAGCCACTATGCAGCACTCCACACACACACTATATGTATGTGTATGTGTGTGTAAAATGTCTGATGTATCATTTGTTAACACAGGATGTCAAAACACTCCCCGCATGCAGTGTCATCATATCACCAACAACTGAAAGACAATATGCCCCAAATTAACACCTTAATAGTAAATTAGAAAGAGCATCAAAAGTTTTAAAATCTTGACACATGGATATTTGTCTCACCTTGTAACTCGGTGGGGTAATAATGGTTTGGTTTGGTTTGTTTATTTAATGCCATAAGCAACTGTATTGCTGGTAAATTGTATTTATGAAAACGTATTGCTGGTGATATTTTTGTAATGTATTTTTATATTTTCATGTTTTGATCCCAGTTTGTGGGGTTCACTATTTGCCCATAGCTGGGACCCTAACAGGTGCTACTACCCCGGGTCAGGGTGGACCTGTGAACGGTTGTTCCATGCTCCTCAGAACCTCTCGATCAGAGGTCTTGCTACTGAATGTAGTTTATCAAAATACCCAGTACGAGATGGTAACAGTAAACACCAATATCTACAAAAGAATGTACATGTCTACTTCACATTAAGAAAAAATATGCTATATTCAAATTAGTCCTATTCAAAACCCAACACTAACTGACAAATTGTTTATTTTACAGTGGAACTTTCCAATAGCCATGATAACAAGAAAACTTGGTGCTGCCTTGGCTGTAGGTTGTACTGCTGTCATTAAACCTGCAGAAGACACACCATTGACAGCATTAGCCATTTGTCAAGTAAGTTTTATGGAATTTATTAATCATAAAAGACTTTTTTTTAAGCAAATAACAGTAAATATTTCATTAAAGTTTAGTTAAGATTCATTTATTTGAATTCTTACAAATGTTCATAAATTGTAAAAGGTTTCTAAACTTGGTTTGTTTTGTTTTACAGTATATCAACATCAATGGGTTATTTAATGCCAACAAGATTTTTATTGCTGGTAATATTTTCTTCAAAAATGTATTGCTGGTAATATTTTTTCCAAAAAAACTTATTGCTGGTAATAATGTATTACTGGTAATAATTTTTTACAAAAATGTATTACTGAAATTAAAGCCTATTTTTACACTTTGATAATACTTTGACCCCAATTTTAGAGTTAACTATTTGCCCATAGCTGGGACCCTAACAGCTGCTATCACCCTGAGTCAGGGTGGACCTAGCAACACCAGCAATTAAGAGGTGGTTCCACACTCCTCAAAACCTCCTGATCAGATGCCTTGCTGTTGAATGTAGTTTATTGTCTTACTCAGGATATGGACGCAGTTGTTTCTAAACATGTTACATTTTCAAGGTTGTCATTATATAGTAAACTCTTGTTCAAGAATTACCATTAAGCAGAAAGCAGAACAGTCTTCCATTGTTGACATCAATCAAAAGGAAATTTCAGCTGAGAATATCAATCATTTGGTCTGCTTTAAGGCAGAATGGCAAACAATAGTATGGCTTTTGTTTATTGGCATAACCATGTATGGGTTATTTAATGCTAAAATCTAGATATGAAAATTCAAAATTTATAATTCAAGAGAATAACATTTCATGATTAAATCATAATTACTTAGATGCATTTTTTCAACAAATCTTACAAAATCAAATGAGGTCTATGATGAGTTAGAAGCTATTGTCAAAATGCAAGATCAATAACACAAACAAAATTAATAAATCAATTAATAATTTAATCATCAATCATGAAGGCTGAAGCATACAATGGCTGAAACATTGTGAATATGGCAATGAAGATGAGGATAACAGTCTGAGTAATGTGAATAATTCAAGTAATCATCATGTCTAATCTCAGAATTAATAAAATTTGCAGTGAAAAGAAAAACGTCAAAAAGGATGAAACTGCAACTATCATACAAGCAAACAAACAATATCGTTAAAGCAAATCAAATAAGTAAGAAGGCAAAAGAATTCACAAACTATAAGTTGGTGTTTGTACACAAACAAAAGGTCGGACAAGCGAATACAGTACGTCTGTCTAGTACTGAATTGTCAAAACACAAGCCGTCCTATTTTATTGGCTAAGAAAAATATCCCAGCATGCATCCTTCCAACTATAAGAGGGGGACTGGAAAAACTTTTGCAATCATTCCCATATGTTGGGAAATCAACCCTCCCCTCAATCTAAATGGATAAGTGCACTTAGTGTAGACTTGTCCGGCATTGCGTAAGTGCTCTTTTTTATGTTTATTATTGTTTTTCTTGTAACTGTTTCTTGTCAACGTTTTCTTTGTCTACCACCTGTTTGTTCCTGTGTTATCAGGGGGATCCCTCTCCACTATGGTGGAGGCTCCCCAGGAAAAAGCTATTGGCCACCCAGCCATCAACTTGAGTGTAGGAGACTGAAAGTCCCAAACTATTACAAAATCCTGAGAGAGGGTCTTTCATTTCAGGCCATGAACTTTTGCCCATGCCTTTATTAATGGAGACAGTAGTTTCAAAGATCACCTCCCTGTTGACAGCTGAGGTCAAGACATGAAAATTTATTGCTACCAGCAAGGAGGCAATGGAAGAAGCCCTAAAGGCCTTAAATATTGGGGCCCAAGATGCTGACAACAGAGGAGGTAGCAAAAACATTAGGTAGGAGTGTCCTAATCACCAATATACTCAGGCTACAAAAGGAGTACATAGGCACCTGGAAGATCCTGTTTGGTTTCGATTGTTTCGTTTTACAGCATATCAACTTCAATGGGTTATTATTAATGCCGACAAGATTTTTATTGCTGGTAATATTTTTTCTTCAAACATTTATTGCTCATAATAAGGCTTTTGTACATTTATCAAAATTTTTATATCATGGGGTGTTTCGTAGGGCCTCTCTATGTGGTATATGTAAGATTGAGAGATGATGCATAAGTTCTTGTGGTGATTGAGTCTATTGTAATGAATGAATCATGATTGTGATTAACTAGGATGAAGAATATCAGCAATGATTAGCCTCCCCGCCCCTTCAACCTTGTTCCAAAATTATTGTATTATCAATAATAAATATACATTGACATGCATTGGGAAATCAACAGACTAAAAATTTGTTTCCCCCCTTTACAAGACCCTTTTTAACTATTTGCCCATAGCCTGGACCCTGACAGGTACTACCACCCAGGGTCAGGGTGGACCTGGGAACACCAACAATTAATAGGTGGTTCCATACTCCTCAAAACTTCCTGATCAAAGGCCTTGCTGTCAGATGTAGTTTATCATCTTACCTAGAACACACATACTATTTCATTTTTGCATTTAGATCTATCTGTGAATATGTACGAGAGTGTAGGATAATTAATATTTTTATAATTCCTCTTGGAATATAATAACTGCTTATAGACCCGGGTCATGGACCACACAGCCACCAGGTTTCCATTACACGTCACCACATTGTGGAATTGTTACTCCTCTACAGACGTACAGTCGGCCTATTCTACAACCCCAACAGACAGGCCAGTCCAAAGAAAAGAAAGTTTAAGTGGTTTGGTTTGGTTTGGTTTATTTGTTTTACAGCCTATCAACCTCAATGGGTCATTTAATGCCAACATTTTTTATTGCTGTAATTTTTTTTTGTCAAAAAATCAATTTCTGGCTATATTTTTTCCTTCAAAAATGTATCACTGGTAATATTTTTTTTATTTTATTTTATTTTATTTTACAAAGTATTTCTGTTATTAAAACCTATTTTTACACTTTCATAGTGTTTTGACCTCAATTTGGGGGTTAAGTATTTACCCATAGGTGGGACCCTAATAGGTGCTACCACTCCAGGTCAGGGTGGACCTGAGAATACCAGCAGTTAATAGGTGGTTCCACACTCCTCAAAACCCCCATGATTAGAGGTCTTGCTGTTGGACGTAGTTTATCGTCTTACCCAGTACGGCAAAGTTTAAGAGGCAAAGCATCAAACACAAGCAACAAAATATGTAAGGGCTACCCCCCACCTTGTGCAGGAATGCAGTCAGTATAATGTTGAACTCTCCTCCTCCAAAGGAAACCATGTATGCTAATTTTGTTCAGAGAATTTTTAATTTTCAAATACTGGACAGAAGAACTTAAGCAGTGAAAATTTACTAAAGATAAAAATAAGGACTATTAAAACTATTCAAATAGTTCCTATTTAACTATGAATTTTGTAACATTTTACTTTAGCTACCAAGCAAGACATTTGAAGAAAGTCACTATTGAGCATCTTAATGTTTTTGTCTGAAACAACTTTTTATACCAAGTGTCTTAATGAATTTCCATTTTCCAGAGACAAGAATTAGAAAAAAGATTAATGAATTAATATTTGTATAAAATTGGACCAATGAATGAATCAATGTTTTGTTTGTATATTCATCTTTTTAAAATTTTACATATAACACAATTGCACTTATTAAAGAAGAATAGAATTAAGCAAAGAGCTGGGGTAGGATGTGCAGCCATCTGCCACAAATTATAATTAATGAAACCAATTCCAGACAAAGTTTCCATAGTTAGCACTGTGGTAACAGCTATCGACTTGGCCCTCAACATTGTAAATCCAAGTACACATAAAAAAATTTATTTTATACACTGACTCCATATCCGTGATGATAGCACTGAAAAACAAAAATGTCAAACCCACTGATCAGGTTTTGGTATATCAACTTCAATGGGTTATTAAATGCCAACAAGTCTTTTATTGCTGCTAATATTTTTTTCTTCAAAAATGTATTGCTGGTATTAAAATCTATTTTTAACCTTTCATAGTGTTTTGTCCCAGTTTGGGGGTTTAGCTATTTACCCATACCTGGGACTGTAACAGGTGGGACGTGGGAACACCAGCAATTAAGAGGTAGTTCCACACTCATTCAAAGCCTCCTGATCAGAGGCCTTGCTATTGGATGTAGTTTATTGTCTTACCCAGGACGGCCACTCATCAGGAAACTACTCAACAGAATCAATAGCTTAAATACAGATATTGTCTTCTGCCATGTTGGTTTGGTTTTCCAGCATATCAACACCTCAATGGGTTATTTAATGCTGACAAGATTTTTAGGATAGGTTCATATGAATAGAATATACATTTATTGCTGATAGATATTATTTTTTAATTTTTTTTTTGTTATTTGAAATTTATTACCGGTATTTTTACTATAAAAAAATGTATTTTTATATTTTCATAGTGTTTTGACACCAGCTTGAGGGTTAACTATTTTCCCATAGCTGGGCCCTATCAGGTTCTGCCACATTGGATAAGGTTGGACCTGGGAGCAACAGTAATTAAGGAGGTGTTTCTATGCTCCTCAAAACCTCCTGATCAGAGGCCTTGCTGCCAGATGTAGTTAATTATCATACCCAGAATGCAAGCCATATTGGTATCACAGGGAATGATAGAGTGGTTTCAGAAGCAAAAAAGCATCTACTATAAAAACGGGCCCCATAAATACCAAAATTCCATATACAGATCTGAAACCAATAAATATATTAGGCATGAGTAGCAGAACTTATGGAACTCCTGCCCCCAAACAATAAACTCTACAAAATTAAACCAATGTTAGGAGAATGGCATTAAAAACACCAAATTAGAAGAGAAATGATTATATCCAGACTTCATATTGGATATCCCACCATAACTTATTTATATATCCTAAAAAGGAATCTGTTATATTTATTTGTTTTCTTTTACAGTATATCAACCTCAATGGGTTATTTAATACCGATAAGATTTTTATTGCTGGTAATATTTTTGTTCAAAAAAATGTATTGCTGGTAATAATGTATTGCTAGTAAATATTTTTTCTTCAAAAATTCATTGCTGGTAATAATGTTTTTACAAAAGTGTATTGCTGGTATTAAAACCTATTTTTATATTTTCATAATTATTTGACACCAGTTTGCGGGTTAACTATTTGCCCATATCTGGGACCTTAACAAGTGCTATCACCCCTAGGCAGGGTGGACCTGGGAACACCAGCAATTAAGAGGTGGTTCCATACTCCTCAAAACCTCCTGATCAGAGGCCTTGTTGTTGGATGTAGTTTATCATGTTACCCAGGATGCCCCATTGGCGGTGGGTCTTACCCCTCTTCAGAGGTGTAGTCAGCATATTCTACAACCCCAGCCGACAGGGCGATTGTATGTAGTTTATCATGTTACCCAGGACAATGGGATTTTGGTATTTAAGGGGTGTGACATGTTTTTTTTTTTTATAGTAGAAGCCTATCTTGTTATGGAATCTGCTTTATCATTCCCTGTGATACCAATATCCAGCAGAAGACAATATCTTTACTTAAGCAACTGATCCCAACAAGCAGTTTAATAAGTGGATTTGACATTTTTGCCTTTCAGTACTGCAATCACAGACATGAACTTCTCATGCTTACCTGAACCCATGATGTTGAGGGCCAAGTCAATAGCCATGACCTCAGCACCAAATATGGGAGCTTTGTCTGAAAAGCAGCTTCATCAATTCCAACCTGCAGCAGAGAGCTGCACATCCAACTCCATCATCATCCCTAGATACATCCACAAAGGAGGAGACATGATCCAAGTAGGCATCCTTGATGGAGAGCAACTCATGGAAAATGTGACACGATTGGCTTTGGATTCTCAGAACCCAATGAGTTCCAATACAACACTTGGCTGCTCCACCATCCAGGGAGGCACCCCAGAACTAATGGACTCTTGGACCTTCACTGTATTTGTGTTTTCTCAATGACATCCCTCACATGGACACCACACAGCCCGATGGCACTATCCTTGTTAAACATGTAGGACTTGATAAGCCAGACTAGAAGACATCACAACAGTATGGCACCACCAATAGGATTTCTAACATTGGATGAGTCTGACTTTGTGGAAACATGCCTTCGGTGTTTCAAATAGTTAAAAAACAAGAAAAAAAAAATGCAAAAGTGCATGAGGGGAGAATGAGATTACAGTTATCTTTTTGGCTTCAGCCAGATATGAGCTCATCAGAAATATCTGTTATGGCAACTGAAAAATAAGTTGGTTATTACTGAGAGGACAGTTTCTCATGAATATGTACACAAGCTACAAGAGTCTTCAAGATTCTTTGAGTTTGAAAAACTTGGCACTGGAGAAATGACCAAAAATGAATTGATACAGTTGAGATTAATTGAACATATATGTGAGGCTTCATATAAACATAACATTTTAGAATGGTTACAACTGGTTAAAATGTCCTTGAATACATCTAGAGAGTTTTTTTTTCAGGAATTAAAGTTAACTGAAAAATTCAATACATCCAAGAGTAACTTCAAAGCATACAGCATATCAAATTGCCTTGTGCTATACAAATACTGTGATAGAGAGCATGAACAGGACAGGATAGAGTTGGGACAGGTTATGTTGGAATTGTGAAACACCATTTCCAGTCAGTGTGTAAGCATTAAAGGAAAATAGAAAGGATAGAAAATGTAAACCCTCCTCCTGTATTTATGATACAAAGAGATAAAAAAGAAAAGTGACAAAGAAAAAAATTGGATGGCATAAGTTTTCCTATGAAATTTCTAGTACAAATGGACAAACCTAAATTAAAGAAAAGTCAGCTTAAATTAGAACAGTTTGATGGCTTGTCAAAGCATTATCTTGTTTTGAAGGAACTTTTGATTAGTTTGGTTCATTTTACAGCATATCAAACTCAATAGGTTATTTAATGCCAACAAGATTTTTATTGCTGGTAATAATTTTTTTTTCTTCAAAAATTCATTGCTAGTATTAATTTTACAAAAATATATTGATGGTATTAAAACCTATTTTTAATCTTTCATAGTGTTTTGATCTCAGTTTGGATGTTAACTATTTGCCCATCAGGTTTGGTTTATTTTACGGCATATCAACCACAATGGGTCATTTAATGCTGACGAGATTTTTATTGCTGGTAATATTTATTTTCTTCAAAAATGTATTGCTGGTAATAATTTTTCCTCCAAAAGTTTATTGCTCTTATTAAAACCTATTTTTACACTTTCATAGTATTTTAACCCCAGTTTAAATGTTAACTATTTGCCCATAGCTGGGACCCTAACAGGTGCTACCACCACAGGTTAGGGTGGACCTGGGAACACCAGCAATTAAGAGGTGGTTCCATGCTCCTCAAAACCTCCTGATCAGAGGCCTTGCTGTTGGACAGTTTATCGTCTTACCCAGGACACTAATGTAGTTTATCGTCATACCGGGCGAAATTGTCAGGAATTAAATACTTGGCTAAAATTGACGTCAAGTCTGCCAATAACCAGATACAAATTGATGAAAAATTTAAAGAGCTCACTACAATTAACTTTCTAATAGGCTTACTCAGATGGAAGCATATGCCTTATGATGTAATGGACTTGCCCTATTTTGCATAGAGCCCAGCAACTACTAAATAAGTCAGTCGTCTCTCAGTAAATGAAGGACTTCTATGTCACAAACTAGAAGACATCACAACAGTCAGTGTGTGGTAAGAAAGGACAAAAACTGAAGTTCATGGGGTTGTGTAGGAAAGATAATGGTTAACCCTAGACTTGATTTGTTGGTTGGTTTTCTTTAGTGGCATATCAACACCTTTATGGGTTATTTAATGCTGAAACTCAAATATTTTGTACACAATTTTATAGCTTCAGCTAAATACTTTGAATGCAGTTATAGGACTTCAATCTACAGATATGTTGTACATAATTTTATATTTTCAGGGTAAATGTTTGTTTCACAGATATATAGTTTCCTTAAACTTGAAGCGGTCAAGATTGTAGTGATTGGGAAAACATCCTGCCAGGAGTGTTGCATAGAATTATTTGCAAACATTATACTTCTGCAAATATTTTTTTTTTTTATATCTGAAGGATTGAATCTGATATATTTTTCAGCTTGGTGAAGAAGCTGGTATACCTGCTGGTGTTGTAAATGTTGTCACAGCCTCCAGAACCAATACACCTGAAATTGGAAGACTAATTTGCGAGAATCCCAAAGTGGCCACTATTTCTTTCACAGGCTCTACGGGAGTTGGAAAGGTAAGGAAAAGTCTAGATTACACTTAGGTACAGAAACTAAGTATCAAAAAAAAAAAAAAAAAAAAAAAAGACTAGTTTTTAGATATGTATATTTGGTAAGTAAATCTAAGTTGTTTTTTTTTGTTTTTGTTTTTAAATAGAGCTTGCCTCTTTTTACGTGGCATGAAATTGCACTTAAGCTAATTTTATTAATTTTAAAATTGTATTTAAAGTTGATTAATTTGGTTTATTTTGTTTTATGGCATATCAACCTCAGTGGACGGACAGTTGTATACTAAAAAACTTATTGCTGGTTATAATATTTTACAAAAATGTTTTGCTGGTATTAAAACCTATTTTAACAGTCCCAGTCACACTACTTGTGTTAGGGGGGGGGGCGACATCTCAGCCTCGTTTACAGAAATGCAATAATACAACCCTGAATTATGGAAAAAATAAAAGACTTAAAGAGAAATTGGAATGACTAAAACAGTCACCAGCTCATCCATGCCATCTGCTGATAAAAAGTCAAAGAAAATTTCATCAACCCATTCATCTCATGGCAAATGTTCCCTGCTCAGTAGAGATTCCAGTTCATTCTGAAAAATTACACAACCCAGTTTCTACTCCCAGTCCTTCCCCACAAAAACAACAATTGCCCCCAGCATCCAAAAGACAACCCTTTTTGCAGAAGATAGGGAAAAAGGAAATGACAGTTTAGACAACCATATAATTTAGGGGAGGACATCTGCCATATTTCCCCAGCCCAGGCCATAAAATCTTGTAAAATGACACCCCAAATTGCCATCCTGGAGGACGAGAAAATAAATAAGAGTAGTTCTGTTCAGAGAGGGTCCAAATTTTAGTTCACTCCTTCTATAGGGCTCTGAAATTAACCTATCCCTGAGACATCGCAGCCTCCCCTCTGACGACCAATGGGAGAGGCTGTTGGTGTCCTCACCCCGACCATGGTCAGGCCAGATTCCCAACCCTAATTAGACTGATAATAGCTCTCTAGTTAGCAGGTTTGAATATCCAGAGCCTGAGATTGGAGTCTCATAGTGTGAGACTCACTCGTGATCTTCAGCATCTCAGGGTGGATGTATGTTTGCAGGAGACCTGGTTTTCAACTCACAATCATGAAGAGATTCTAAGAGGCTTGTCCTCTATTTAGCATGCTTTGATGGCTGCTCAAGGGTATTTCCTGGCTAGTGAGCAAGTCTATGAAAGCGGCATATTCTCTTGTCTTCATGGATTCAGCAGGCAGGCTTTGCGTACTGGATGTTACCATAAAATATAAACCACAATGAAACAAAGGGCCTTTGTGCCCAATAACCATGTAGAGTGACCTGATTTGTTTTGGCAGATCAAGCTTTTTTTGATGACATCTCATTGGGTAGTTTTAGCAGGTGATTGGAATGCTGTTCTTTACCCAGATATAAATTGAATAGGGTTATGGTTGGGTACTAACAACCCAGATATGAAAGTGTTTCAGGGATTTATCAACAAATTTGATTTTGTCAATAAGTATTTGAATGAGCATCCCCAGGAGGTAATGTGGACTTAGACTAATATGGGCAGCTCAGCTTTAGTGGTGCAATCTAGCTACATCAACTGAGTTAAGAGAGATGACATAGGGCTCTCAGGTTGTCCATTTGATAGTTTACATGGATCATATGCTCATCTGGGTTTGTTTGGGAATTGATGGGGGCTGTGGTTTCGAATATGTGGTGGGAAAATTTAAAATCCAAAATTAAGTCACTTGCTGCTGATTTTAATCATCGACTATGTTAACAGTACAAACGGCATTAGAGGTTGATTGGGTGATTAAATCCTGTGATTGCTGTGGTAGTGGTGGGGGGGGGTCATAACTTTAGATAGGGAAGAGCTTCCCTCCTTGCTTATCAAGAAGGATCAAGCTCTGGTAGTTAGGACTAGGTTAAAAAAGAAAAAGTCTTCCAAGGTGACTAACATGGATTTGTGTGCAGAGGCTGCACAAAATGCAACCACTTGACATATCGCAAGCATCACATTTCCAGACAAGAGGGCTGTGACTACAAATGTGGGCATATATGAGGTTTTTCAAGATTACTTTCAGGATCTGTTTACCAGGAAGCCCAGCCTGCTCTGTTCAATGCACATTTTGGTGCCTAATGATTGTGATTAGTCATTGCCTCCCTGGATTTTTACTTTAAAATATTAAAGCTCTGCCATTATGGCATTGAGAACTTTTTGCAGTAAGCAATTTTGGGCAGACTCTTTTTAGATCTGCTCATCTTTGTCTGTCATCATATGTGTGTGTGCATGTGTATGTATGTATTCATGCATGCATCTATCCAAATGCTTAGCAATGTGGTTCAAGGAAGGTAGGCAGGTTTTCTTCATGAAAGGAAATAAAAACCAATAAAGAAAAAAAAAAACAGATACAAAATCCTATATACCAGGTGAAATTTTTTTCAAAGAGGCGGGTGTCATTGATTAATGCATCAGGAGATTAACATATATAATTAAAGACCTGAAAAAGACCATCTCTTAAGATATCACAACCAAATGAGAAAAAGGTGCTTGGAGGATATAAATAACCTGAAGGAAGAACTGATGAAGATTATTTATGACTTATTATTTATGACTTATTATTTGACATACTGAGGCTCTTAGTAGTCACCGAGAAGAAACGTTCAAATAAATGGAAAATTTACAGGGACTATAGAGATAAAACTGAAAAGGAAAAAAGTCCAATTTTCAGAGGAAGTAGTCAATTCAAAAACTGGTCTAAGACTATTTAAACAACACACTCTCTTACTGAGCAAGAGAAGTTAATGGTTACAGTTAACTGCTTGTCAATTCTCTGCCTCCAGGTGGAGAGGAACCCAGATGACGCTATGCCGAAAGGCAGAGTCTCATCTAGGGAAATAGACAGCTACCTGACCCCCATGTATACGGGGTCTATGGGCAATTTCTGCCTGAATCTATGGGCTTGGAATGCCCCATGTAAAGAAAACATCCTTGTGCCACATCCTGCTTTGTGGGGTGGTCTCAGGTAAATACCGAGGAGTTAACGATTAACTTTTTATTACATTAGTCGGGGTTCTCAACTGTGTACCATATTATACTCTAGAATAAACAACTTATTTTCTATAGATGTCAACCTTTCCTATTTTATGACATTTTCACTATGCATTGTAGTGTAACAATTCAATTTCTCGCAAATCTTCAAAAGATAAGTAGTTAAATTCCTTCCTTTTAAGTCCACTCAGCTATCTAAGTTTCATAGGAATTTCATCTACAGTCCATCCTTGAGGCAACTGAATTGCTGCAGTTTTCAGGATTCATGTCTCCCGTTTACCTTTGAATTGGGAAACAAATTTATCAATGATTTTAGATAGTCATAAAAGTAGTCTTTTGAAGATCTGACCACTCATGTGGTGTTGAGGTTGTCTCAACACTTCTGGAAACACAAGATAGGGAAATGGGACTGCAGCCATTATCCATATAAGCAGTTAGAAGGAGTCCAACAGGCAGTGAAGAACAAGCAGAGGCTCAGACCAGAAGGAAGTAGGTGACCAGTAAGTGCCCAGCAGCCAGTGATAGATGGACTGACAGTGAGGAATTGGGAGTCACTGAGCCCAGAGACCAGTGAAGAAGGGACCAGCAGGAGTTAAGGAGATAACTGACTAGCTTTTTCCTTTGGTTGAACTGCTAAGTAAGAAATCATATTGTTGCTACTTCCCAAACAGAGAGTATTGAAAAACAATTGTCTTCATCTTTGGTTGAAAGCAATCATGGATAAGAAGACAAAATTGTGCACATAGCATGTCGGGTGTATATGCAAATACAATCAACCTTAAATGTCATCACAGGTGCAATGAACGACAGTTGAGCAGAGAACGTCATCACAAAACATTGTCACAACTTTGCCATGAATTTTATTTTATCACAGTAGGTTTATAATCTAAACTTAAACAATGATTTTTCAGATTTTACTGTCACAGTCAGCATCGACAGTGAAGAGAGTTTCCCTTGAACTTGGAGGAAATGCACCCTTCATAGTGTTTGACAGTGCTGATTTAGATAAAGCAGTCACAGGCACCATGAATTGCAAATTCCGTTGTTCTGGCCAGGTAAGTTTACTACTATTTTGTAAATAAAGCTTAAAAATAACTATCAAACATTCTTTTAGGGAATGAGAATGTTGGTACTTTGACTATAAAATTCTATTATTATACTTTCATAGTGTTTTCAACCCAGTTTGGTGGATCACTATTTGCTCATAGCTGGGACTGTAACAGGTGCTACCATCCAAGGTCAAGGTGGATCTGGGAACAGCAGCAAATAAGAGGTGGTTCTATGCACCTCAAAACTTCCTGAGAGGCAGTGTTGCCAGATGTAGTTGATCATCATACCCAGGATAGCAAAAACCTGGGTAGACAGATCCCAACAAACACTATAAAGATTTTCCTCAGTCATTTAACATCAGCATTTGCCCTATTGTATTTTGTAATGTACTAAATATTACTTTTCCTGGATGTGATCACAAAAAGATTCTACCTATGCTTTTGTATATGTTCTAGAGAGAGAATTGATACTTAGGTTCGTTCGGGTTAGATATTAAGTCAGATTTTATTCACAAGGATTTCTGTAATCATTACAATGAAGGCCAGTAGTCAAGGTTTGGTTTATTTTTCACTATATCAACAGTAATGGGTTATTTAATGCTAACAAGATTTTTATTGCTGGTAATTTTATAAGTATTTTTTTTAAAAAAAACTATCAAATGACATTTCATGATTAAATTATAATTACTTAGTTTCATTTTTTTTCTAAACTAAATCCTACAAAATCAAATGAAGAGCAAAAACCTGTTTTTTCCTACAATAAATAAAATTAATCACAGCAAATTCTTTTGTAAAATGTTTTGATGATGTATGCCATTTCTTCAATTTTTGTTTTTTATGGGATATCAACCTCAAAAAATATTTCTGATAATATTTTTCTCATAAGTGTATTGCAGGTAATATTTTTTTTTTAAAAAAATGTATTGCTGGTATTAAAACTATTTTTACACATTGACCCCCAGTTTGGGAGTTAGCTATTTATCCATAGCTGGTATTCTAACAGGTATTACTACCCCGGGTCAGGGTGGAACTGGAAACACCAGTAATTAAGAGGTGGTTCCTTGCTCCTCAAAACCTCCTGATCAAAGGCCTTGCTGTTGGATGTCATTTGTCTTATCCAGGACAAGAGTCATTTTGCTATAAAAATGTACTGCTGGCCACTCCACTACAAAAACATTGGTCATTTTGCTAGTGTTTTTTTTTTTTTTTTGAGGGTTAACCATTTGCCCATAGCTGGAACCCTAAAAGGTGAACCTGGATACAACAGCAATTAAGAGGTGGTTCCATGCTTCTCAGAACCTCCAATCTCCCAATCAGAGGCCTTGCTGCCAAATGTAGTTTATTATCATACCCAGGACTAGATTTATTTTTTATGTCAAGCAGCAACTATCACAAGACACATTGTTAGGTAATGCTTGCAAGACATTTGAAATCTACAAGAATTTGCTGAAAAGTTCTCAGCCCAACCAGGAAGCCCTAAAAAAAAAAAAAAAAAAAAAAAATTTGGCCAAATTCCGGAAGTAGCTTGGTCCATTAACTTTTAGCACTTATACAATTAAGATAAATTAGGTGAAGAATTCTAAACATATGCAAAACCAAGAACATTTTTTAAATGTCCCTTCAGTATATAGATCCCAGTATTCTAGATTCCTTTTTACTTTTTTTTTAAAGCTGTGAAATGTCATGATGTTTTAATAAAGATATTGGAGTGGTTCCAATTCAGAGTTGATCTTGTCCTAGTCTGGCTGCAAGTCAAGACTAAAGAACTTTGTCTGCTATATTTGAGGTCAGGGAAAAGAGATCACAGTAGACAAGTTTGGAATTTGAACTCTGCAGAATCAACTGTGTCAATAACCATTATCTATATACAGGTATACTTCACCCTACATTGCTAATTGGTTCCAGATGTCATGACTTAGGTTAAAAAATGACTTAAGTTGAAATAACCACAAATAAGCACTGCCATTGTTTATTATAGTATTTATATGTACATACAGTATTCTGAATAAAATAATTTCCAGCTTATCTTCCAGCAATATCCTTATGCTTAGCATTAGCAATTTCCTTTGGAGCCATGGGCAAAAATGTATTCTAAATCACAACTGAAATGTAATTGAAAGAATGTCAACAGCAGAGCACAGATGTAAACAAGTCTGAATTCAAAATCTGTGCTGGAGTGGAAAACAATGCACAAGTGCTGCCAGGAATTTGAAATAAGAACATCTGCTGAACATTTATTATGCTAATTTTTTGGTCTTTGATGGTGTGTATGTATATATATTTCAATTTATTTAAATATGATTTTATGTGTTTGTTATCTTAGTGTTTTGATGCTTCTAATATTTTTAACGAATGATGTAAACTCTAGTAAAACCACCTAAGGCGAGTTTCTTTCAACTTTCTTAATCTTTGTTTAATTCATTTTTCCTCTTACAGACGTGTATCTGTGCTAATCGAATTTTGGTTCAAGAAGGCATCTATGAAGCATTTGTGAAGAATCTAGCTGAAGCAATGAAAAATCAATTAGTTGTTGGTAATGGACTTGACAAAGGAGTCAATATTGGACCTCTTATTAATTCTGAGGCTGTAAATAAAGTAAGTATTTTTTGTAAAATTTGTTTAACAGCATTTATAGATAATTTAATGCTGAAATTTAATTTTCTGGTGGGCTTGGGTAATTTTTTTTTTTTTTACGATACTTTTTTTTTACTTATACTTTCACAGCATTTTGACCCCAGTTTGGAGGGTTCACTTTCTGCCCATAACTGGGACCCTAACAGATGCTACTATTCCAGGTTAGGGTGAACCTGGGAACAACAGCAATTAAAACTAATAAGAAGTCTTGCTGCCTGATGTAGTTTATCATCATACCCAGGTCTGGTTTGGTTTGTTTTACAGCATATCAACTTCAATGCATTATTTAATGCCAAACAAGATCTTTACAATAGATTTCTACAAATAGAAAATGTCTTTGTAAATTAGATTTCATCGACATATTTTTGTAAAATGTGTTTTTGTTGAGCGTCTGGTTTCATTTATGTATTCTTTTCAGATATACACTTTGTAGAGAAATCAATTTTATTGACATTCCCGTTTAGTTTGTATTTTTTGGTAAAGGCCCATTGTTCTAAGAAATGGTATTGTCATCCACTTTTGCTTTCTCAAAGATCTCATGCATGTTGTTTAAATTATAGCATTTTTGTCTTGAGAGAGCAAGGTCTGAACACGCAATATATGTTTAATACTGTATCCCGTTTTATATGCTTGGCATACTGGTTAATGTTGGTTGTTTAGCAAGTATGAGTGGCTTATTCTTGTCTTTGTAAATAGGCTAGTACAACTTCTTCCTTGGAGATTTTCTAAAAGCTGATTTCCATTCTTCTAGTTTGGATAGAATTACAAAGAGTTTGCAAGGGTTATCATCCCAGTACCATTGCCATTCCTTTTGAATATATTCATTAATGACCTCCTTAAAGTCAGTGTATGAGATTTTCGTTGAATCTACATCCATATCTAAAAGTGATTTGGCTGCTCAGTCTGCTTTGTTACCTTCCATTCTGTGGCTAGGAATCGGACAGTCTTTATGTTTGCAAGTAGTGCGCATTTCGCATTATAGTTTGATAATGAGGGGGTTGTTGGATTTTTTTTCCTTCAAAGCCATTAGGACAGACAACTAGTCCAGAAAATTTTTTTTTTTGATCCAAGCAATGATACTGACAGCTAGCTCTATTGCTTAAGCCTCTACACTGAAAATAGAACTTCCCTTTGGGAGGTAGTTTTTTTTATTGTAATATTTTGACACTGCTGCACATCCTGTCCTTTCCTCACAATTTAACCCATTTATATAGAGGGGTATATAGTTGGGGTGGTTTTTCAATATACCCTGAAACTTGTCCTGGAATGTGAGAGCCTCAGGGTATATTGAAAAATAGCCATGGTTAAATAATTAACCCCCAAACTGGGGTCAAAACACTATTTGTCCATAGCTGGGACTCTGGCAGGTGCTACCAATCTGGATCAGGATGGACCAGGAAACACCGGCAATTAAAAGGTGTTTCTACATTCTTCAAAACCTCCTGATCAAACGCCTTGATGTGGGACGTAGTTTATCATATCCAGGACACTTTATTGCATTGAATAATTATGCTACTATTTTTCTACCCATGTACTTTTGCAAACATTTTTTAGTGTGACTAATTATAGATTTTTTTCTAAACAAGGTCGATAGCCTAGTAAATGATGCTGTTGAAAAAGGTGCAACCAAATTGATTGGTGGTAAGAAACTCACTCTTGGCAAGAATTTCTATGAACCAACCATTTTGACAAATGTAACGACAGATATGGAATGTGCTCATAACGAAATATTTGGACCCGTCGCTTCAGTTATCAGGTAAGTTTGAAGAAATACTTATTACATTGAAGTTCAGAGTTCAATTTATATTTAAGAAATTGAAAATGGAATCTTTGGTTGTACCTATTTACTTACGTCTTGTTTAAGTTAACCAGGGATTTTGGTGTAAGAGAAAAGCACAAAAGTGGGAATTTGGTTTGTTTTATGGCAGATCAACCTCAACTAGTTATTTAATTCCAAGATTTTTACAACAAATTAGTATGAATAGAATCTATATTCTTTATAAGGAAACAGTTTGTAGATCCAGTTTCATTGACATACTTTTTTAAAGAGTGTTGTTGTAGAGTGTCTGCTTTCATTGACGTATTTTTCAGATACACAATTTGTAGAGAAAATGATTTTGGCATTCTCATTTAGTTTATAATTTTTGTTAGAGGCCCACTGTTTTAATATTATGTTATCCCCTTTTACTTTCTCAAAGAGTTCATACGTGTTTATATTATAGCATTTGTCTTAAGAGAGCAAGGTCCGAATACTTGCTTACTTCGTTGGTTAGCAAGTATGGATTATTCTCATGTGGCCAAAATATCTAAGTGGGCCAGTACTACTACGACTACTTCCTTTGAAGATTTTCTAAAAGCTGACTTCCATTCTTCTAGTTTTAGATGAACTGCAAAGAGTTTGCAAAAGTTATCATCCCAGTACCATTGCCATTCCTTTTGAATATATTCATTAATGACCTCCTTAAAGTCAGTGTATGGGATTTTGATCCTTGTGTCTACATCAATATCTAAAGCCGATTTGGCTGTTAGGTCTGCTTTATTGTTACCTTCCACTCTAATGTGGCTAGGAATCCAACATAGTTTGATGTCTTTGTTTGCAACTAGTGCTGCTCATTTTGCATAATAGTTTGATAATTAGTGGGTTTCTGGATTTTTTTTGAGCTGGCCCTATTGTGTAAACCTCCACAGTAAAAATAGAGACACATTTTTTCATTATATTTTGCTTCACTGCTACACATCCTGTCTTGTCATCATACTTTGACCCATCTGTATAGATGGGTGTATGATTAGGGTAGTTTTTCAATATGTCCTGAAACATGAGAGGGTGCGTCTTTTGTTTAGGGAGTTTATTTAATGCAAGCAATTGCATTGGATGGGAAGCTAAGCAGGTCCTAGTAGAACATGGAACATATGTAAGAGTACATCCCTATTGGCTGATATACCACTCCAATCAGATCGAACAGCCAATAGTTAACAGTGATTCAGGTGGTACATGGAAATGTTACATTCTTCCTCTGTCATCCCGAGTTGGACTATCTAATTCCAGAAGAGTCTGGTAGTAATGTAGATATTAGTCCACCCCACAAATGAAGCATTACCAGAAAAAGTTGTCAAACCAGTTGAATCTACCTAAACCAGGGCAAGTTGTGAATTGCCAAATGACCAACCAGACTGAACTGGATAACCTGAGAATAATCAGTAGAGCTGGAAAAGCCACTGGTTTCAATTAATATTTCATTAATGTCATTCAAAAGGTCAATAGACCCTTTTGCCTTGATTTTGAAAATGCTGTTACTTCTCGAACAGCTATTCCAGAAGTGGATAATGGGGAAATGCATGGTATTATTTCCACACATGTTGATGACTTCTGTTGGGGGGTGGCTCTGAGCTTTTCAGGAGATCCATCATTGATAAAATAAAAGCCAATTTTGTTGTAAAATCTGAGGATTCAGTTAACCAGGTACCTTGGATTAGATGTTAATCAGAAAAAAAAAAACAATATTGTTATTAGCCAGGACAAATATGTTCAAGGACTTCAGCTTATCCCTGTTCCTTTTGTTGTTGGAGATGAAGACTGAGTTCTGATGAAGAAACAATGGTTAGATAGGCCAATGGCAGGTTAAATTGGATTGCCACCTAGACCAGGCCTGATCTCAGTTTTGATGTGAGTGAATTTCCATCTTTTATGAAGAAGAAAAGATTTGATTGTATGCAACAAACCAACAAGAACATTAAAAAAAAGCCAAGGAGCAGAATTCTCCGATTTGTATCTCAGCTCTTGGTGATCTCCAGAAACTGCAAATAGTGGCATATAGTGATGCATCTTTTGCCAAAGTAGAGGATGGTAGTTCTTGGAGGAGTGGGGTGGCAATATTATTTTCATTGTTGGAAGCAATGGCAAATACTTCCCTGTTCATTGGCAATCCAAGAGATAAGGAGAGTTGTCAATGCACACAAGCGGCAGAGACTCTAGCTTTAGTGGATCTTACCGAGGTTTGTATATATTACAAAACATTACTTTGCAAAATTCTGCACATAGATGATTTGTTAAAGATCCCCATAGTGCCACTCATTCGACCAATCTCACTCTTGATAAAAGAGTGAGAGTTTAGACGGCCATCCTCAAAGAAATGCTGGCTAAGAATTGTTATGGGACCTACCTTTATGGACTAAATGGACTCATCCTATTACTATATATACAGGGAAATTATGCCTCCCAAGAGAGCTGTCTACAGTTGACATGTTACAGCTAAACAGTCGAGCTCTCTGCTGTCAGGTGGAGAGGAACCTGGACGAGGCCTCGCTGAAGGGCAGAGTCTCGTTCAGGGAGGTTGACTGCCCCTGAACCCGTTTATGTGGGTTCAAAGAGGGATTATTTTTGGCCGGATATCTCATGCTAAACCGGCCTTGTGCCACATGTAACCCTTGTGGGGGGGGGAGTAACTAAATATCACTGTCTACAGTTGACAAGTTGACTACTGTACTTTTCCATCAGTCGGACATGCAACACTTTTGTATTCGTTCTTTTTGTTAATAATATGTTTTCACTAAATTGCTGAGTTCGAGTTTCCTTTTGAACCTATGCTATAGTTTTTTTACCAGTGTCTACAACACTGGCGACGAGAATTTAAAGAACTCCATGGGAGAACCACTAAAAAAAAAAAAAAAATAAATAAATAAAAGTCTAAAAAACAGGCTTATTGTCAAAAAAAAAAAAAATTGTGCCAAAGTTATAAACTTTACATTTCGTGGTTGTCCAAAAAAACTACTGTGTATTAGAATAACACATTTAAAGAGGAAAAAAAATACGATTTGTTTTTTTTCTCTTCCCTTCCGAGCAACACAAAGGTTTGGTACAATTAAAATTACGTTAGAAGTGTAATATTGAAAATTAAAACATGGAAGAGTTTAAAGCTACTATTTTAGAATTGGTTAGAGTCCAGTTTGAACAACAACGAAGAAAAACAATTAAAATTACAGCAAAAACACGAAGAAGAAGAATTAAAATTAGTGACAAATGATAGAACAGAAAAGGTTTGAAGAATTGCTTTTCCAAACGGTCGAATAAGGGTCAAAATACTGAGAGCGAAACTACTTTTTCACAAAACACAATTTGGAGTGCAATTGACAATTTCACTTATTCGCCAGACGAAGATAAAACCTTCACTTCATATTTCAGAAGGTATGAGGATCTATTCGAAATAGATTGTGGGAAATGGGCAGATGCTAAAAAGCTACGCCTACTGCTCCGGAAATTAAGGACTACTGAACATAGCAAATTCATGGACTACATATTACCTCGAAAAACTAGTGATTTGACTTTCGTTGAAGCTGTAAATCTCCTTACAGAATTATTCAACCCAAAAACGTCATTATTCCACAAAAGGTGGAAGTGTTTAAACCTAACCAAGAAAGACAGCGAAGATTATTCAACATTCACATTGGTAGTTAAACATTTTAAATTGGCCGAACTTACCGCAAACAATTTAAAATGCCTAATATTCATACAAGGATTTGTATCAACGGAAGATACAGAAATTAGACGTAGAGTCCTAACCAGGTTAGGAAAACCAAATTTAACTTTACAAAATATAGCCAGGAACTGCCAAAAATATATAAGTGTAAAAAATGATTCTAGAAACATTGAAGTGTCAGGCGTTGCACACATAAAAAAAATACATCGAATACCACATTTTTCCTCCCCTTCAAAAACAAGTCAAACCAAAAAAAAATTATTTTCACTCTCCTAAGAAAAAAAGTCCATGTTACCGTTGTGGAGCACTTAATTGGTTTAAAGATTGCCAATATTGGTTTAAAACCTGTCTAACTTGTAGCAAAGTTGGGCACAAGAGTTCACATTGCAGAGCAAATAAAGGGGGAAAAAGCCGGATTAGAACCACAAAAACAGATGAACTGGACATCAAAAATATAAGAAAGTATGTGCAAGTAGAAATACTGAATAAAAAAGTCAAGTTACAATTAGACTCCGGGTCTGATTTATCAATAATCAACCTACATACTTGGAAAAAGTTAAATAAACCAACCATGCTAAAAACCAGCAAAATAGCTAGGTTGGTAACCGGTAAAAAAAAAAATCAAGTTTGAGAGTGAAATTATCACGAACGTTACTTTGAACGGAACAACCAAAAAATTGAAAATGTTCATGTTAAAAAACACAGATAATCTATTTGGCACAGATTGGATGCAGCAGTTCAATCTGTGGTATTTGCCAATTAATACTTTTTGTCAGAAAATAGAAAATAGAAAATCTGACAACCAAGTCAGATAAACTAAGAAATGAATTAAAAGAAACCTTCCGAGGTCTTTTCGGCTGGCCTTGGTAGATGCAAAAAGATGTCAGCAAAATTTTAGCTAAAAGAGAACACTCAACCAATATTTAAGAAAAAAAGGAATGTGCCTTTCACCTCGTTAGAGGAAATAGACAAGGAATTAGACAGACTTGTAGAGACTGGCATTTTATCTAAAGTGAAATATAGCCAATGGGCAGCACCAGTAGTGTATGTAAAGAAGAAGTCTAAGGAAATCCGCGTGTGCACAGATTTTTCTACTGGCCTAAACGCAGCACTAAAAGACCCACTTCCAAGCCTGGAAGATTTTGAAAATCGATCTCAGCGAAGCTTATCTCCAAATACCCGTTGAGGAAGAAAGCTCAAAATTACTATGTATAAATACACAGAGGCTTATACAAATTTGAAAGGCTTGCATTTGGAGTCAAAGTTGCACCAGCCATTTTTCAGCAAGTTATGGACACCATGCTGGATGGACTTGACTTTTCAATGGCTTACCTAGACGACATATTAAACAGTAAAAGCTTAGAACAAAACCGGGAACACATCCACAAAGTATTTTCATGAATACAAGACTATGGCTTCAAAATAAAGGAAGGCAAATGTGACTTCTTCATGAAAGAAATCAAATATTTGGGTCTCACATCATAGACAAAGACGGTAGGAGACCAGACCCAGAAAGGGCGACTGCAATTAAGGACCTGCCGGCTCCTAAAAACGTCACAGCACTACAGAGCTTTTGGGGGTTAGCGAATTACTACTAAGCGTTTATCCCAAATATGCATAACCCCCATGCCCTGCTGAATGAGCTTTTAAGAAAAGATAAGGTTTGGGAATGGACACCCGAATGCCTGGAGGCATTCGAGAAAACTATCAAAGTCCTAACATCGGATTTATTCCTTATGCACTATGACCTGAACCTTGAGATTATAGTTGCTAGTGACGCAAGTTCGCATGGAATAGGAGCGTGTATCCTTTATAAAATACCAGATGGAACGCAAAAGCCCATCGCTCATGCATCAAGGACCCTGCTCCCAGCAGAAAAGAACTATTCCCAAATAAAAAAAGAAGCATTAGCAATCATATTCGCAGTCACGAAATTTCACCGTTACATACACAAAAGATTTTTCACATTACAAACGGACCATAAACCGCTACTCAGTATTTTCAGGTCAAAAAAAAGGATTACCCGGTTAAACGTCAAACAGACTGCTGAGGTGGGGGACAATTCTCCTAAATTACAACTTCAAGTTGGAATACCTCCACTCGAAAAAAATCTGTCACGCTGACAGACTTTCTAGACTGGTTCCAAGACATAGGGAACCCTTAGAAGATTCTGTAATCACTTCACTACAAACAGAGGGGGAAGTAAAAACTTTGTGTAGCACTATAAGAGAACTTCCTGTGATGCTACAAGAAATAAAACATGAAGCCCGCAATAATGAATTCTTTAGCACAACAAAAACAAAAATTACAGAGAAGGACCAACACATATCAGAGTTTTTCCCTATGTGACGAGGTACTCCTATACAGCGAGAGAGTCGTCATTCCAAAAAAACCTACAGAAGAGAATCCTGAAGGATTTTCACATTGGGCATCCAGGGAAAAATAGGATAAAAAGTCTAATGCGCAGCTATGTATACTGGCCTAAAATGGACCAGGACATCGAAAATATGGTCAACACAAGCAAGGGCTGTGCATTAGCGGCAAAAGCACCACCTATCACACATAAATTGTGGCCAAAGATGGACCAACCTTGGTCAAGGATCCATGTGGACTTTGCGGGACCGCTAGAGGGATTCTACTATCTAATTGTAGTAGATAGTTATTCAAAATGGCTGGAAGTGTTCCAATGTAAAAATCCCACTACAGAGGCAACAATAAGCTACCTTCACAAATTATTCACTCGTTTTGGGGTAGTAGATTGCTTGGTCAGTGACAATAGAACTCAATTTACTTCAACCGACTTTAAAGAGTTCTGCGAGATTTTTCAGATAAAACACATTACAACCCCCACCATATCACCCGAGGTCGAATGGTCAAACAAAATGCTTCAGAGACACCCTAAAAAGAGCCCTGAAAAAAGCTTGCAGCACCCCAAAAGAAAAGTTTACAGGATCACGCCAAATGTTAACGCGCCAGCTTCACCATCTCCGGCAGAAATAACGTTTGCGCGTAAAGTAAGATCCGTTCGTTTGTTTGTTTGCTGGGGTTTTATGGCATATCAACCACTGTGGGTTATTTAATGCCAAATCCAGTTTATATGAATTTTAAATGCCTATTTTGTATGGAATAAAAAAAACGTATAGCTAGCAACATTATTGTTTCAAAAATGTACAGCTAGCAACATTATTGTTTCAAAAACGTATACCTGGCAACATTATTTTTCAGAAAACATTATCTGAGGCCTTGCTGTTGGATGTAGTTTATCGCTGTACCCAGGACGTGGATGTAGTTTATCGCTGTACCCAGGACGTGGATGTAGTTTATCGTCATACCCAGGACATGGATAAGATCTGGAAAAACTAGGAGTTCACTATTTGCCCATAGCTGGGACCCTAACAGGTGCTACCACCCCAGGTCAAGGTGGACCTGGGAACACCAGCAATTAAGAGGTGGTTCCACGCTCCTCAAAACCTCCTGATCAGAGGCCTTGCTGTTGGATGCAGTTTAACGTCATACCCAGGACGGAGTAAGATCCGTTTTTGATAAATTGCTTCCCAAACAAACAAAACAAGGTCCGACCTCTATTGTACCAAGGGAAAAATACAGCCCAGTGGAAAAGTATTCTTCAAGATGTTTAAAAATAACCTCTTTCTGGGAACCTGGTACAATAGAAAAGAGGATTGGAAATATGGTCTACATAATCCAAGGCCCTCGTTTCTCTCATAAGAGACACCTGAATCAAATCAGGAAACGACTGTTGGATGACTGCAACAGTACTCCCCAGGACGAAGAAGTTATGGATACCATTTACGACACCCTCAACATTCAAATACCCCAAGCAGCTTCAGAACCGCAATGATCTAAAAGAAAGCAGAAGTCCACAGACCCTCTCGTCATCAATCCAAAAAGGAGACGATATTGAGACTTGGGAGGAGAGTGTTATGGGACCTACCTTTATGAACTAAATGGACTCGTCCTATTACTATATATACGGGGAGATTATGCCTCTCAAGAGAGCTGTCTACAGTTGATGAATTGACTACTGTACTTTGCTGTCAGTCGGACGTGCAACACTTTTGTATTCCTTCTTTTTGTTAATGTTTTCACTAAATTGCTGAGTGAGTTTTCTTTCAGACCTATTCTGGGTCCACAACAGAATGAAATAGCAGAAATCATATGGATTCCCCAAGAACACCAAGTGGCTGATATTCTTAAAAAAAGAGATGTTTCTTCACACCAAAACAAAAATGATGAGATGCATGGCAAGCCATGAAAGAGAATAAGAAAATCCACATTTCTGGGAAGTTGCCATTTGTGCATATGTTATAAATTTTTAGTAACAGTTGTAAGGATTTGTTGTGTAACTGTTTTATGAATTCATAGTGGATATCCTCTGGTACCACAGCTGTATTGTGGCCTTTCTTTAAAGATTCACTTAGTTCCTATAGAGTGAATGTTTGATTTAAAGTTTATTTTTTTGTTTCTCAACTTTTTGTTTGAGCTTGTTGGCTACCATTCTTAGCAGATGAATTTTTAGAGATATTTTGGACTAGGTGGTCAGCAATATCCTTTTTACTGGTTATTTAAGAGTTATTTATCAAGGTGTTTTACAGTGTTTGTTTGGTATTTGTCTTCTATTTTCTTTATCATATTCCAGATGGATTTTGTTTTTACAGCAGAATTGAGTGTTAACAGTTTTCCCAGTATTCTTTTTTGGTTTCTTTATTTGCCATTTTTTGCTCAGTTTGGTTTGTGTTTTTTTTTACGGTATATCAACCTTAATGGGTTATTTAATGCTGACAAGATTTTTAGTATAGAATCATATGAATAAAATATGTATTCTTTGTAAAAAATCAGTTTTTAGATCAAATTTCATTGATGTATTTTTGTAAAGAGGATATTTGTCCCAAGTTAAATGTATTGCTGATAATTTTTTTTTTTGAAAAGGTATTGCTGGTACTTCAACTATAGAAACCAACTTTTTACACTTTTATAGTGTTTTGACCCCAGTTTGGAGGAGGTTAATTATTTGCCTATAGCTAGGACCCTAACAGGTGCTACTACTCCGAGTCAGGGTGGACCTGGGAACACCAGCAATTAAGAGGTGGTTCCATACTCATCAAAACCTCCTGATCAGTGGCCTTGCTGTTGGATGTAGTTTATCATCTTACCCAGGACACTCAAGAGTGGTTTCATTGATGTTCATTTTTCAGATAGTTTATCATCATACCCACACATTATCAGAAGTTGTTTTAGTTATGAAGCTTATTGCCTGTGCTGGGTTGGATAAAAAAAAATTGTTCTTACAGCAGTTAACTATAGCAAGAATGAGGAGCTGTTTGAGCCAATGAATGCCCTTAGAAAATTCTTTGGGGAATAAATAGACAAATCAGGATTGGTCTATCAAACAAAAACTGGTATATATAGCAGAATCAGAGGAAAACATTATGAAGAGTAGAAATATACACCATAGAGTAAGATACAAACATGGTCAGGATATGGTGTAAAACAGATACACACCCTAAGACTATGAGGAAGAAGACTCAACTAATTTATCTTCTAATTAAAAGTGGTGAAGGAAAGCTGCTTAGTTAGGCCGAGAACTTTTCAGCACGTGTATTTAAGTTTTCAAATTCTTAAATAATCAAGCTTTTTGAGAAGCCACTACCTACTTTAAGTTAAAGTAGTTTGAATTTTATTAAAATTGATATTTGAAAACTGCAAGTTTGCAACTAATGGACTGGTTTAAAGAATGAGAAAACAGACTCATTAATGAAAGTTAATTTTAGGCCACCTTCATTTTCAAGAATTAGAAATATTTTCCAACCAGTCAAAAAAAAAAAAAAAAAAAAAAAGCTTCATAATTTCAACATCATGTTTTGCTGAAACTGAGGTAGAAGGCTCATCATTTGCTGATCTCTTACCCCCATTTGGGTCAGAGAGATGACAGACATGTACAGAGGTAGCAGGAGACACCTTTTGTGCATTTCTCTAAAATCCCTTTAAAAGCTTTTGTTTTGCTGATTAAATTTGTTTTCTTAGCAAGAAAAGAATTGCAAGTCTGTATTATTAAGATTTTACAATGTGGCAATAACTACTTTGCTTTCAGGTTTAAAACAGAAGAGGAGGCTATCAAGATTGCCAATTCTACACCTTATGGACTGGCTGGTATGTAGTTAACTTTATCCTTGACAAAGTAGGTTTTGTTTGTTTTATGGCATATCAACCGCAATAATATTTTTATTGCTGGCAATATTTTTCTTTTTCAAAAAAAGAATGTACAGCTGGTAATAATTTTTCCAAAAATGTATTGCTGATATTAAGACCTATTTTTGTATTTTGACCCCAGTTTGGGGGTTAACTATTTGCCCATAGCTGGGACCCACACAGGTACTACCACCCGGGGTCAGTGTGGCCTGGGAACACCAGAAATTAAGAGGTGATTTCACACTTCTCAGGGCCTCCTGATCAGAGGCCTTGCTGTTGTATGTAGTTTATCATCTTACCCAGGATATAGACAAAAAAAAAAAAAAAAAAAAAAAGTGTGTGTATGAGTATATATGAATTGGCACTTATATATTTATGTGTGTGTGTGTGTGTACACAGGAATATAATGAAATAGGTATGTAGATGTTTTCAAGTATACATGAGAAATAAGAAAAGGCTCTAAAATGCGTGGACAGATGAGTGGGCATGTACAGGGATATATATATATATATATATATATATATATATATATATATATATATATATATACACACATATACACACACATTATTGGTAGTCATGCATGCAAATGAGAAAAAATTCAGAAAGTACCAAGTTAAAATTTAATTTTTTTCAAATTCTTATAAAAAGAATTCTGATAACCATCTTTTAAAATATGGAACTGAATTATGCTTTATTAAGTTTTTTGTTTTTACTATAAAAAAAACAAAAAAAGCAGAAAATCAAATAATTATCAGATTTCAATAAAATCTACTTATTTCAGTGACATATTCCCTTGTATAAAAGGGGAGAAATAAACTTCAGTTTTAGGAAAAATTCACTTTGCAGAAGTTAGGAAAAATTTTGTTTGAAATTTCACGTTATAAAAATTATAATCAACTGAATGTATCAGGTCATCCCATAAGTTCAGTCCGAATTTTAACTTTTTGTTAGAATGAACAAAAGTTAAAGAGTATTTTAGAATGTCTAATGGAGCTGAACATTTTTATGTTTAGATGCGGAGCTGAACATTTTTATGTTTAGATGCATTTAAACTGATCAAATTTTATTTCAGAGAACAATAAAATTAAATTTTATTTGATTAGTACCCAAGAATCATTTGAGGCACATAATGCTCTATGAGTTCAAGAAAGGAAACTCAGCAGCTAGAAACATTCTGTTTATGGAGAGGAATGTGTGAATTAAAGAACTTGCAAAGGATGGTTTGCAAAATTCAGAGGTGGAGATTTCACCCTTGAAGATGAAGCTCGAACCGGACATCCAGTAGAGTTCGATGAAAAGCTTCTTGAAGCAACCCTTGAAGAAAATCCTGCTTTATCAGTTGAGGAATTGGCAGTGGTTCTCAGTTCAAACCATACAACTGTTCATAGTCATCTTCAACAACTTGGAAAAGTTCCTAAACTTGGAAAATGGGTGCCTCATGAATTGTCTGAAAACAACCTCAAATCCTCGAGTTGACATCTACTCTTTCTCCATTCTCGCCAACTTGTTTCACCTTTTTGGATAGACTTGTGACTGGCGATGAAAATGGATCTTTTATCTAAAATGTTAAGCATCGGAGACAGTGGCTTGGTAAAGGGAAAGGACCCCAGCCACAGCTGAGAAGGGGAACTTCATGGGCAAAAGGTTCTTTCAATCTGGTGGGATCGCCAGGAATAATCCACTTTTGAATTCTTACCACCTAATGCAACAATGCTCAAATATATTGTCAGCAATTGGAGCGTTTGAACCAAGCTTTGAGGAAAAAAAGACCTGCTCTAGTGAATCGAAAAGAAGTGTTGTTTCATCAGGACAATGCACGACCACACACAGCAAGAATCATGTCTCAAAAGATCGAAGAACTAGGTTGGGAGAAAATTCCTCATCCACCTTGTTCTCCTGATGTTGCTCCTTCAGACTACCATTTGTTTCGTAGCTTACAGAATCATTTGGAAGAAACAGTTTTTGTAACACAGGAAGAGGTTAAAACTGACATTTGTGAGTTCTTCGAATCAAAGCCAAAAGAATTTTACAGTAATGGAATTAGTAAGCTTGTTAATAGATGGAAGGAAGTCATAGATAATCAGGGAAAATACATTGTTGATTGAATCTGTAATCAAATGTAACATTTGGTCACTTGTTTTCTTTATTCAAAATTCGGACAGAACTTATGGGATGACCTGATAGATTTAAATATCGGGGAAGTGTTCTAACATGTCAGAAAAGATAAAACTGAAATCTAAAAATGCATTAGAATAGCAAAGGATGCTTTCTAAGCAAAGTATTAAAAGGAAAATTGTTATAAATGGTACTAATCTTATGTAATATCAATTCTCTTTGGCAGTGATTGGTTTCGTTCATTTAATGGCATATCAACTCCTTATGGGTCATTTAATGCCAATTTAATTTTCTTGAGAGATTTTTTATTTTTTTTTTACTATTAAAATCTATTGCTAGAAATTACTTTTTAATATTTTCATAGTGTTTTGACCCCATTTTGAGGGTTCACTATTTGCCTATAGCTGGGACACTAAAAGGTGCTACCCAAACTGGGTCTGGGAACAACAACAATTAAGGTGGTTCCATGCTCCTCAAAACCTTCCAATTAGAGGCCTTGCTGCCAAATATAGTTTATTATCATGCCAAGGACAATCTATAGTAGTGAAATTTGGTTTGGTTTGTTTTACGGCATATCAACCTCAAAGGGTTATTTAATGCCAATAAAAATTCTCTCTCAAAAATCTGTTTCTGGGAATATTTTTTTTCAAGTATTGCTGATAATTTTTTATTACAAAGTATTTCTGGTATTAAAACCTATTTTTATGCAAGTTTGGGTGTTAACTATTTGTCCATAGCCGGGACAAATGCTACCACCCCAGGTCAGGGTGGACCTGAGAACACCAGCAATTAAGAGGTGGTTCCATGCTCCTCAAAAGAGGCCTTGCTGCTGGACGTAGTTTATCATCTTACCCAGGACACAGTAGTGAAATTTGGACAGTCACTGACAAAAAGACTCCAGGTAACAAATGTTCTACAGAAGGATGCTGAGAATACCATGGACTGAACATAGAACATGAACAACAAGGAAATTAATGGAAACTAAAAGGACACTTAAAATCAGGAAACTTTAAATTTGTAAGATAGAATGTTTGTTTGTTTGTTTGTTTGGGTTTTATGGCATATCAACCACTGTGGGTTATTTAATGCCAAATCCAGTTTATATGAATTTTAAATGCCTATTTTGTATGGAACATTTTTAGCAAACTAGAGCTTATTTGCTTGCACACTGCAAAATAATCCTAGGTATTTTTGTTTAAGTCAAGAATTTCCATTTGATAAGGACAATTTATTTGCAAAATGTAAAAGGTAGGATATGTTGTTTATACATCAGTCTACATCTTTGATAAGAGACCAATTCTTGTTAGAAAATCCAATATATTTTTTCGTTCAGTTTTTAGGATAGAATGAGGAGAAAGGTTGAAGAGTTTAACACTCATGGAATATTAATGGTAGGAAGGACAGAGGACAGCAGTAAGTAAGCTAACAAGCTTATTTATATGGATAGGAAAATGGATTGGAAACAAAAAGAAACCAAAGAGCTAAAAAAGATAAGTTGTGGAGAGTCATGACCACACCCTATATCATGAAGGGACACAGTACATAAAAGAATCAGCTGAATACATAGGGTGTAAGAGAATTACTAAAGATTTATATTTAGGATTCGGGTATTAACTTTCCTTCTCAATTCCCTTCTGGAATCAACATAAATGAAGATCAGTATACTCACTATTTTACCTATGGTGATAAAATATTGGCTTGTCATTCAATGTCTTAAAAAAAAAAAAAAAAAAAAAAAAAAAAAAAAATATATATATATATATATATATATATATATATATATATATATATTATAAAAAGAAATATAATGTAGTGGTTCCAACGAGAGAAAAGTATGTATATTAAAAAGAGAAGAGAAGAGCTAAAAAGATATTATTAATAATATAATATGTGGAAATCTCCACTTTTACCTGAAGACGGTCGCAGGACCAGAAACACGTGTCGTAAAATCATGTAAAACAAAGCATAATATTTTTTTCTAAATAAATCCACATTACAACCAAAAACGTTTATGCACCTCTCTTCTTTAATATATATACATATTATATATATATATACATATTATATATATATATATATATATATATATATATATATATATAATATCAAACTAGTGACATTCCTTCATCAGTGAACATACCATGAATTTTTCACCTATTGCAATGAACAGTTGTTCTCTCAAATAGACCCCATGCCTTGAGCAACTAATGGGGCTTAAACTCAACCCAGACTTCAAGTGAACACTTACATATGATACATTACTAAAGAGACTCGAAGAATAGTCTGTTCCTTGTATCACTCCAGTAAGTGCCTCAAAAATGGAGTACTGCTACCATATATGGGCTGGAGCTGCCTAGTCTTCACTATCCAATCATGATAGAATGCAAAAGCATCTCTGTATCCTTGTGGGTGGCAAATTATTTTCCATCCTACGACCCCTTTCTCCCACACAAGAAAGAATGCAAACCGCCTGCTCTGTTGCTATTTCTATGGAAAGTGTTCAGACAAACTACATTTTCTACCAGTTCCAAATTTCACAGCTAAGGCCCCCCATGCCATGCACATTGTAGCAGACCAAGAGCAGCTTCTTGCCACCATACATTGCTTTGCGGAACCAAGTCCAAACAGGATGCTTTCCTGATCACTACAATCTTAACCTGTTCAAGTCTAGGGTTAACAGTTATCTTCCCCCACATATCCCCATAAACTGTGCCTCTTAGTCTAGCTCTCTACCTCGAGTGGCTCTTGGGCCTTGTACAAGTTGAACATTCATTTTATTCATTTAACACATTTTGCACCAGTGGTTAGCACTCCCCTCCATCTCACTAGTGGTATAACAACGTGTATGGGTTATTTAATGCTGAAATGAAATATTTTAGAATACATTTTTATGGATTCAGCTAAATATATATAAGAGTGTGTGTGTGTGTGTGTGTGTGTGTGTGTGTGTGTGTTTTATACTTTCATAATGTTTTGTTTGGGGGTCCACTATTTGCCCATGGTAGTAGCACCTGTTAGGGTCCCAGCTAAGTCAGACTGGATCTGGAAACAGCAGCAAATAAGAAGTGGTTCCATGCCCCTCAAAACGACCAATGTCTTTGCTGCTGGATGTAGTTTATCATCATACTTAGGATGAAAAACTGTGGTTCATGGTGACATTCAATGTAGAATAGGACAATTGTTTCCCAGTTCCTTTTGAACTGGGGATGTTGAGGTTATTCTGTCTCCTTTCAAAAGGTGGATTTGTTTTTAAAGTTACCTTTCTAGCTTTTGCCTGAAAAGGCAAGGGGCCTAAAAGACAGCAGGTGGTTTGAATTCAGAGTTTCCATCTCCTATATTGGTTGCCACACAAGTCTGTCCTGCTATTTTACCCATAGTTGGGAGGAGAATAGGTATTAGCACCTAATTGAATATAATGGACACTAATAGTATTCAAACTGGGCTCTCCTATTCGTCATTCCGAGCCACTAAACTACTCCACAAGTTGAAACATCATTGTTTAAAAAACATGCTAGTAAGAAAAAAAAAAATCTATATTAATTTCAAAGTTAGGTATTTTTTTACAATTGAACAACTATTAAACAATTCAGGTTTGTGAAATTTAATTGTTTCAAAGTATAATTTTAGTTAAACTAGTTTGTAAGCATCTGTCTATATTTCTAAAGATGAGGTATTGTAACTGTTTACATTATCTGGACTATTCTCATCTTATTCAATGTTTCAGATGTATGCTCTGGTATTCTTCAGGTGATATTTCTCACAGCAGAGGGAATAAAAACTTTGAGAGTTGAGTTACTAAAGGGAATTAACTGAAACCGAAATATCCAAAGGCATGGCACACAGAATTTTAGAACAATCTACTTCTGTGGAGTAAATAAAGGGTTCAGTTTGGTTTGGTTTACGGCATATCAACCTCTATGGGTTATTTAATGCCAACAAGATTTTTATTGCATGGTAATTTTTTTTTTTTAAAAATCCTTCAAAAATTTATTGCTGGTAATTTTTTTTTTTTTACAAAAATGTATTGCTGGTATTAAAACCTATTTTTACACTTTCATAGTGTTTTGACCCCAGTTTGGGAGTTAACTATTTGCCCATATCTGGAACCCTAACAAGTGCTACCACCCTAGGTGAGGGTGGAGCGGGGAACACCAGCAATTAAGAGGCAGTTCCATGCTCCTCAAAGCTTCCTTGCTGTTGGATGTAGTTTATCAACTTAACCAGGATGCTAAAGGGTTCAGTTCGTAATTCCAAATATCACATGAAAAAGGCTGAACAAGTGAAACATGAATATGGCAAAGGAGGACAACAAATAGTGTAAATAGTTTATAAGCAAGTTTTATATCTGTTGTATAGGGATAAAAGTGTCATGGCTGACACTGGAGTTTGAACACAGATCATCAGTGAGGAAACACAGAATTCCATTTTGAATAAGTAGATCACATGTTTGTAAAGGAAATTTATATATGTGAATTAGCATGGTGTCTAAATGATCACTATTTGGATTATTTGGCGGTTACTTTTTTTGAGCAAGTACAATTAGTGTGAGTGTTATTGAGGCGAATGAAGAAAACAGTAACCAGCGAGTAAATTCAAGCTCTCCCAGCTGGTATTTCAACCTTGAGTCGTTACTTCTTGAGTTCTGTCTCCAAATCACACTAACTGCCCGTTCTTGCCGTCAACCGTGAACGTCCCTCAAGAACTCCCGACCGGAAAAAAAGTAGTTGTTTTTATAGTTGCTCATATACCCATAATCCCTTGCGTCTTCATGTGATCCCATAATGCATTGCATCGTTATTGCATAAAAATGCGATGCCAGTCCCCCTCATTCTTTTACCTTATCTGGCCGAGGATGGATTACGGCAGAGCAGTAAGTGCTTTTTTTTTCTCTCCCTCATTTCAACTGCAGTAGCTTTACATGCTAAACAAATACGGGCTCTTTTTTGGCGGGGACAAGGCAAGTTGCGACCAGTTGTGCTCGTCCCAGGTTCTGTCTCATGTCCGCCACAGTTATTCAAAGGCGTCTGACACCAGTATTGTTCAATGGTATTTCTATAGTTGTATCTGCAATTACAAAGTCTCTACCACAAGGAGAATTATGAAAGTGACGAGTATTCATTGACATTACAAATGTGGCAATGAGTGTTCATTGTTGACATCATAAAAATATCATTGGGATAAAGATTCAGATTGCAAGCAAATGGTGAATTTTTTTAAAGTTATATCCATGCCATTTTGAGCAAATCTACTGGTAAATTTTTGAACCCCTAGACATCCAGCCTTGTAATATCAACTCTTCAGTTTATAATTTATACATATTCTTTTGCAGGTTACTTCTACTCACAAGACATAGCCCAAATATGGCGAGTTGCTGAGAAACTAGAAGTTGGACTTGTTGGTGCCAATGAGAGTGCAATATCAACAGCAGAAATTCCTTTTGGAGGTTTTAAACAGTCTGGCCTTGGACGAGAAGGTGGAAAGTTTGGAGTTGATGAATATCTGGAAGTTAAATACATTTGTATGGGAGGAATATGATTATTGATTGATATTAAAAAGTAAAAAGAAAATTAAGGTTTAATTAGAAGTAAACATGCAAATTAAAGTTCTTTTTTTAAAAAAAATACTAGAAGTATAATAGAATCTTTCCACTAAATCTTGTCTTTACTTGGTGTCATAAGTTATTTATTAAAACAGGATATCCTTAAGTTATATTCTGGTAAAGTTTTATACCATGTATGACCTGTTTATATTGAGTGCATGAAGCCTTACCCAGCTAAGAGTGTTGGATGACTAAAGTCTTTGAAGGCACAAGTTAGCAACTATAATGTTGTTAATGTCTATTAGGACATTTTGTTTAGACAATCATTTTGTATAATCATGTTTGAATACCATTTTGAAGAATAAGTTGAATACTTAATTAGAAATAAAGTTATTAAGCAGTCAAAATGTAATGCACTCAGAACCAAAAGAAACTGAGTAACAGTTTTGTTCAAACAATGTAATCAAATTAAGGAATAATCAAGGAAGTGCCTACATTTCAGAAATACAATTTTATTTAAAATCATTCCATATATTTTTATGTTTCTACAACTTGAGGAAAAATAAAGTATTCAGATGTGAGGTTTTGTTTCCTTGCTGAGTGAGAAAAAAAATTTAGTTGCCCACTTCTACAAGAAATTACGCCAGCCTTCTGACATCGGTCTTGTTACAGTGTCAATTCAGCCATTTTGGTTTGTGGCATATCAACCTCAATAGGTTATTTAATGCTAACAAGATTTTTATTGCTAATATTTTTTTCCTTCAAAAATGTATTGCTGGTGTTAAAACCTATTTTTACACTTTAATAGTGTTTTAACTCAATTTGGGGGTTAACTATTTGCACATAGCAGGGACCCTAACAGGTGCTACCACCCTGGGTTAAGGTGGACCTGGAAACACCAGCAATTAAGAGGTGGTTCCACACTCTTCAAAACCTCCAGATCAGAAGCCTTGCAAATACAGGAACATAGCTATAGACAAACTTCTTTTATGTGCAGATGCTCTTGGTTTGGTTTACAGCTCAATGGGTTATTTAATGCCAACAAGATTTTTACAATAGATTCATATGAATAGAATACTTATTCTTTGTAAAAAATCATTTTGTAGGAGATCAGGTTTCATTGACATATTTTTGTAAAGAAGGTTTGTAGACAGTCTGTTTTCATTGATGTATTCTTTTCATATATACATATTGATATATTTATTTGGTTTACATTTTTTGGGAAAGGCCCAGTTTTAAGAAATAAACTTATGTCATCTATTTGATTTTTTTGAAGAGCTCATGTTTATATTATAGTTTTTTTTTAGTCTTGAGAGTGCAACGTCTGAATACTTGGTTAATATTTAATAGTTTATATAATTTCACATACTTTGCATACTGTCTGTTCCTCCTTGTTTAGCAAATGAGTTATTCTCATGTGGGCAATGTGTAAGCGGGACAGTATTACTTTCTTTCAGGAATTTCTGAAAGTAGGCTTCTATTCCTTTAGTTTCAGTTGAATTGTGAAGAGTTTATTGTGAGTGTTACCCTCCCAGATTCCTTTTGAAGTCAGTGTATGGATTTTAACCCTTGTGTCCCTGTCCAAAGCTGATTTGGCTAGGTTGGCTTTATTGTTACCTTCCACTCCAATGTGGCTAGGAATCAAATATATCTTGAGGTTTTCATTTTACATAGTTTGGGTTATTGGATATTTTTCTTCCTTCAAAGCCATGAGGATGGATAATGCCTGAAAATATGAAGAAATTTTTTGTTTGCTCTGATGACATTGAGTGCTAGCTCTATTGCTTAAGCCTTTGCAGTAAAAATTGAGCTTCTCTTTGGGAGGCATTTTTTATATTTTGCTTTGGTTTGTTTTATGGCATATCAACCTCAATGGGTCATTTAATGCCAACAACTTATATTTCTGTTAATATTTTTAATATTTTTCTCAAAAATATATAGCTGGTAATAATTTTTTTTTCAAAAACGTATTATCAGAGGCTTTGTTGTTGGATGTAGTTTATCGTCTTACCCAGGACGCGGATGTAGTCTGAGTGTTAACTATTTGCCCATAGCTGTTTAACAGAGTAGACCCGGGAACACTAGCAATTATGAGGTGGTTCCACGCTCCTCAAAACCTGGCAGAGGCCTTACTGTTGGATGTAGTTTATCGTCAGACCCAGGATGCTCTTTATATTTTGGTTCACTGTTGCACATCCTGTTTTGTCCTCACACTTTGATCCATCTGTATCAATGTAAGATTAGGGTAATTTTACAATATGCCCTGAAACTTGTTCTGGAATGTGAGTCTTTTATGGAGTTTAATTAATTCAAGCAAAACTTTGGGTTGCTCGATTGTCCATGGTTGAACTCGAGTTTTCAAAATTACATTCAGATCAGCAGAACACTTTCACGTTTGTTTATTTCAAGTTATATTGTTCAAAAGTGTTACATTTGTCTACCTTCATCATTGTTGCCTTTTTTTATCCATTTGTATTCATCATTGGAATTTTTCTTTGTTGACTTGTTTTGATTCGGTTTGGTGACATGGAAATGCCATCATTATGATTGAATCCAAACCTGCTAATTCAACATCCATTGAAGTGACCCCTTCAGTGTGGTTGGGGAGATAGGCCTCCAAAAAAGAGGGAGAGTTGAAGATGAGAAAGGAGTTAAAAAACATCCAAATAAAGAAAAAATAAAGAAATAAAAATGAGCAGGATGGAGAAGGCCCTGAATACATCCAAATCCCAATTCATCCCTGTTTCCCCAGTTACAAAAGAACTCCTCTAAAGACATGCTAAGGAGCCTCCCTTCTTCCTCTTAAAGCTCCACTGTCCACTCCCTTCCCCTCCTCCAAACACACCTCCAATCAATACATCTGATCAACACTCCTCGCCATAGCACCTCACCCCCCCTTCACAAAAAAAAAAAAAAATAAAACAGTATCCCAAGGGAGGGGGCCTTGTCAAGTAGACAGGCATGGCCCCAGAACATGACTGTCCCAAAAGAAAGCATTGCTAAGTCCCCTCTTTAAAATTTCTTCTATCAACGGTGGAAGACCCTCAGAACTTTCCTAAGGTCCCAGGGGTGATAAAGTGTATTCGCAACACAGGGAGGGACCTTAAAGTATGGGACCACCTCTCTGAAGCGAAAGATGCGTTTCCCTAAATAAGTGGAAATTGGGTCACCCAATGTTAAAAAATTGCATAAGTTTTGTGCCGGGAGTGTCCCTGTTATTCTCCATATCTATACAGAGCACTTAAATTAACTTATCCCACGGACATCGGCGAAATATATGAAACTAGCGTAATCCAGTTTTGAGTGATGTAGCGATCTGTATAATTTAATTAATGTTTGTCGATCTGCTCCCTATTTAGTATGGTCTACCACACGCAGGAGTTGGAACTTTTCTACATTTTAGTCTTACATATTTTAGATGGGAAATAAATTGTAACTTTTGTTAAAAATGATATCTAGGAATTTGTGTTGTTCCACAACTGGGATTTCTGCTCAGTCTAATTTTAAGCATGGGACATTGTGCAATTTTCTTAATTTGCAGAAATGTAGGTATTTGGCTTTCGTTTTGGAAAATGTAAGACCATTTTCCATGACTCATTTGTGTATTTTATTGAGGCATGGGAGTTGAATTTCTATGATATACACAAGTTGAAACCAGTATATTAGAATGTTGTAGACATATACGGCGCATCTCACTCGTGGGCTTAGAGATTTAACTATGGAATTAATTTTGACACAGAAGGGGGTCACTGAAAGTATGCTTTCTTGTGGAACCCCTTAATTTTGCAGTTGTGATAGCCTAGTCCCTATACAGACTTGAAATCTTCCAGTAAATTCTATGAATTAAGTCAGCCTACCTTTTAGGCCCAGTTCCTGTAGGTCTTTCAACATATGACATGGAAATTTGGTATCATACGCCTTTTGACAAAGGTTTCTAGGTGTATTAAATCATCTATGGTGCTTCTTTTCCTAAAAGCACATGGGAACTCGCTTTTAAAAGCCTTTAATTTCCAGGTGCCAAGTCAACCTGTTGTTGACAATTCTCTCTGTAGGCAACTGTTTAATGCTATCAGCCTGTAGTCTTCAGGGTCTGTGTTGCTTTATGGCATATCAACCTCAGTGGCTCATTTAATGCCAACAAAATTTTTAAATAGATTCATAGCGATAGTTTGGTAATAAAGGTGTGTATATATACATATATATTTGAACCATTTTTCAATTACTCATATTTGAGTTTTTTTCAAAAGTTTATTGCTGGTAATTTTTTTTTAACAAAGTATTTCTGGTATTAAAACCTATTTCTACAATTTTATAGTGTTTTAATCCTAGTTTGGGAGTTAACCATTTACCCATAGCTGGGACCCTAACAGGTGCTACCACCCCAGGTCAGGGCAGACCTAGGAACACCAACAATTAAGAAGTGGTTCCATGCTCCTCAAAACCTCCTGATCAGAGGCCTTGCTGGATGGTCAGGGTCTGTGTCATACTTTCCAAGTTTTGGAATAGGGATGATGAATGATTGACTCCACGTTTCTGGGAAGTTGCTATTTGTTCATATATAAGTTTTTAGTAACAGTTGTAAGGATTTGTTGGTAACTTATGAATTCGTAGTGGATATCCTGATTCCACAGCTGTATTCTGCGCTCTTTAAAGATTCATTTAGTTTCTCTAGGATGAATGGTAAGTTATAGCTCTTGGCAATATTTGATTTTGTAGTTTCGTTTTCATTTCTCCGCTTTGAGCTTTAGTAATTATTGGCTACCATTCTTGGTAGATGAATTTTTAGAGATTGTTTTGTCTAACTGGTCAGTAATATCCTTTTTACTGGTTATTTCAGAGTGATTTACCGAGAGGTATTTTATAGTGTTTGGTATTTATCTATTTTCTTTATCATATTCCAGACAGATTTTATTTTTGTAGTGCAATCGAGTGTTGACTTAATTTTTACCAGTATTCTTTTTAGTTTACTTAATTATTTTCCGTGCTTTTGCTCGGT